ACCAAATCATGGATGGTTTTTCTCGGGGTCATTCCATTTCTCTTTGCTGCTGAGAACCTGCAAGTCAGCTTCGGATTAATCTGGAGGATCCATGGTGTCAGAGAACCCACCGGGCCCCAAAATAGATCTCATTAGCTTCACCGCTGAAAACCGGTCGCCGGAGTTTCAAAAAACCCAACGGCTCGCAAGGGCCAGGGTACTCGTTGCCAGGAAGTCCCGGCGCCGCTCGCCCTCTGCCGGGGGCGCTAGAAAATCCCGAGTCCGTTACCTATCGAGGAAGCAAGAGATGTGTTCTCCCACCAATTTACATGCAACCTGCCAGGGGGTCCCTTCAACAGGGAAATGGTCTTCCAGGTGGGAGGGTGCTCAATGTCAACCCCGCCACAACCAAGAACGTGGTTTTTGGATGCCAAGGGTTCTGCTGAAAATTTGAGAAACGGCGAGATTGCGCTTCAACATTTTTGGTTTCCCTTAACCCCCTGGTTCAAGGAAAAAGGAGGAAGCAACGAGTTCCCTCCAAAAGGCCACACCCATTTGACCATGAGGGGATCCGTCATGAGCTGTTCTGATAAGTCGTTGAGACCCGGAAGGTTGGAGTACCAAGCAGATGATGTGGAGGCCCATGTTTCCAAGGTGTGTGTTGAGCTGTGGGTGTTTGAACTTTGAATACCACTTCAAACATAGTCTCTAAAGGCAGTGCAGGCCAACACTTCTTTTGCTGGGCTCAAAGAGCCAAATTAAATGTGTCGGGGCCTGAGAGCTCTCCAAAAGCTGTCCATTGGGGCTTTTCTGGGGTCCAGGTGGCTCAGACTGACATGGAGAACCAAGTCGGGCGACTGAAAGTGGGGGCGTAGTACCAGTCGGCGCCGGCTGGAAGTTGGAAAATCTAATCACCCTGTACATTTCCAAAGGCTTCAGAACTCCTCTTTCTCCAGATCACCCTTCAGCGCAGACGGCGTCGTGTTGGGGCCGAGGGACCCTAAAACACCGGCACGCGGCACGTGGTAAATCGGCGATTCGACCGACACGCGAGGCGCGGCGGCGGTCCAAGTCCCCGAGCGTGAGGCGAAGACCCTCCCCAAGCGTGACAAGGATTTCTCGGCGGTTTCGCTCGGCTTTGGCTGTGCGAGCGTAAGACCGTAAGACCGTAAGACCCCCCCTCCCACGTCAGGGAAACCAATAGGAGAACCCACCGTGTTTTGGGGGGTCCCCTATTTGGACACAACACCATTTGTTGGTTTTCATTATGTGATAAATAAACATATATATATATATAACAATATGGGTGCCCTTTCTAGATAAAACTGGGTAGAAATAGATGCACCCCCCGAAGTCGCGATCCGGGGCGCCCAAGCCAAATGATCGCCTTGCCGAATCCTATTCTGAGAAACACAGAACAGAGCAATCCTGCCATCAGTGTCCTGGTTGGATTAATTTAGCTAAAAGTATATGCACTGCTTTCGATTGGCTTTATTCCAGTTTCCAGGGTCATCTATTTTGCCCCTGTTTTGACACATCCCCATTTGCCTTAGTGACTTCCTGTTGAAGCCAAGTGGGGAAGGTACCCCTGAACATCCAATCCACCAACCCCAACCACCTAATGAGGCGTACTTTTCCTTTGCACGAATCAGATCTTTCCGTTGGTCGGCCAGGAAACGTTCCGGCAAGAGGGACCGCAGTAGAAGCTGCTTGGGCTGAGAATCGGAGGAGAACCCATCGGAGTGTAGATCGGAGCTACAAATGGGTCTGCCTAGATAGCCAATTGGCCGTTTTCTTTCCAGACACTTTGCCTAAACATCAGTCACAGTTGCCGGGGAAAAACAGCGACGCTAGATCCAGGTGTGCTTTTGGAGTTGGTACAGTTTTCAGATTGGTTTGAAGGGAACCATACTCAACTGAGTCTGGGCAGATGAAGGTCAGGGGTCCAACCCAACTAATGCGGATATCCGCCCATTTGGATTATTTTCCATGGGTGGGGAGACTCCTTCAATGCCAGGCTTTGAGTCCGGCATCAACAAGTCCTTACATACGCGGGGTTCCCCTTTCACCTGGCAGCTGGGGAGTTGCCGGTGGTAAATTGGATTGATTTGAAGTGGACCCTGGAGGCTGTTCTGAACCAAACCCTAAAGGAGATGGTTGCAATGTAGCTCAGTGGCCACTGTAAGAGTTTGTGTTTGCTCCTGCTTAATTTATTTGATTCATTTGTTTGGTTGCTTGGTTGTTTGCTTGCTTGCTCGTTTGCTGTTGCTTGTTTGCTTTGCACTGCATTGCACTGCACTGCATTGCATTGCATTGCTTTCCTTTGTGTTGCTTTGCTGTTCTTGCTTGCTTCTGTTGTTTGTTTGCTCTTCTCTGCTCTGCTCTGCCTTGCTTTGGCTTAGTGTGACACTGCATTGCGTTGGCGTGCGTTGCATTGCTTTGCTTGCTTGCCTTGCTTGCTTGCCTTGCTTGCTTGCCTTGCTTGCCTGCCTGCGTTGGTTTAAACGAAAGCCAAAAAGCCCCCCCCCACATGTTGACGCATACGCATTTTGTAGACTTTGTCAATGACCGGTTCAACTTCTATTCGTCCCTTCTCCGTCAAACTTTGCCATGACCCAACCCCCTCAGCCCGAATACCAAGAAACCAGGCCCGGGAAGAAATCGGACGGGCGGAAGCCGAGGCAGAAGCGAGAGGAAGTCACGCAGGCGGTCCAGAAGCGCTGAAAAGCCCAGGGACAAGTCTGCGGACAAGGGCAAGAGATCTCGAAGCAGAGACAGGAAGAGGAGGAGCAGCAGCTGAGTCGGCGTTCTGCGGGCGTTTGCGTTGGCTGTCCCAAATTGAGTGGCAGAAAAGGTGCAGGTGCACCAGGTAAGGCTGGGACGCAAGTATCCAAAACCCAAAAACGAGCATGGACTATGACTTTTGGAAAATCACTTTCCTTCAGGGATTCTCTTTCGTCCATGTTTCTGCTTGTGAGGCTAGGTTTGGGATCCTTGCACTGGTGTGTTTGGACAGCCTCTCGCCGTTCTGGCGAGCGCCGAGCTAGCCGCGCGCCCGGTCGGCTCACCGGGCTGCGGCCCTTTGTGGCGTTCTTGGTGTCCTGAATCATGGCGTTTGGTTTCTGTCAAAATGGATACCACCAGGATATGAACGCAGGTTTTAGTCCTTGTTTCCATTTACCAGGGTTTCATTTTGGGTACCTATCTTTGACCCACACCCAAATGGGAATTCCCAAAACACGGTTTTCCACAATGTTGGACCAACACACCCTAGAAACCCCGATGTTTGAAAGAAACCTAAAAATGGCTGCCATGGCTCTGTTGTTGTTTCCTTTTGGTGACCGCAAAATCTTTAAATGCCAACCCAGACAAGGTCTACCATTCTGAGAACCCCCCATAGGTCATTTGGGAAAATGAATAGCTCTGGTTCCCGTTTTATCATGTACCAGTGCCACCTAGGGTGGCTGCCCCAAATGTTGCAAGTAATCAAACCATACTCAACCACCAAACCAAGGAAATTTCCGGTACGTTCGAGGGTTACCTTGTTCTTTTACTTGCACTATGGCAGGGCTCAGGCTCGGAGCAGAATCACCGGCACGGGCCAAGGAAACAGTGACCTGAACAGGAGTCAAGTAGTGGATGAAGGATTCTGAAGCTGGGCGTGTCAATTTTTCATGTATTTTTGCACGAAGCAAGTTGCTCAAATGAATCCTTGCGCCCCATTCGGTCCAAAGCTGCGCATGAACTTCCACTCTGTACTGCCTTTCGGCCTTCTCCGATTCCCTCCCATCATTGAAGCTGGCAGGAGGGTTTCAGAAGACTTTCTTTTTGGGGAACGCCTACTGTTTTGGGGAGCCGCCACTGACTCTGGGGTCTCCTCCAAAAAAACCATTCTTTTCTTAGGTTTGAATGAACCAGGCAAACCGTGAAGGGGGTCCCATGGCTTTGCTGACAGGGACAAGCTTCCCAAAGGGGAGAACGATTTGTGGCTCAAGCTTGGGGAACAGTGAAGGCTGAATGGCTTTTGAAGATAAAGCAGGGTCCCTGTCATTGCTAATGTTCCATGGCTTTTACCATGGCTTTTGAAGAGTGAATGGCTTTTGCTTTTCTCTTTCCACGGCCCGCTTCGCGCCCTTCCGGAGCCCTACCCCTCCGAGCCACCTCGCAAAGTTGGGCAAAGAGTTCAGCTGTCGATATGGGTCGCACCGCCGGTGAGCCGGACAGTGGGGATCCTTCGGGTATTATACCAAGGGGGAGGGGCAAAAAGGAGCGGCGTGCGCAGCTGGGGGTTGAGAGCGCATTGTGTGTGTGTGTGGATATATACATACAGATATATACGGGCATATAAAGGAGTCTATATATATATATATAGCATACATGTATGTGTTCGTATATGTAATATATATATATATATACACACATGTTTTTGTGTGTCCGTGTCAGTGTGTGAGCATTGGTCTTTTATTGAGGGGCTTCAACCTTTTGCTGGGCTACCCTCCTTTCATTGAGTAAACAAGTAGCCATTCTTCACATTATATCAATCTTCCAACCCTGTGTCCACTTGCTGGCTTGAAGCCCAGCACAGTTTTCAGCATTTCATGACGAGATTGCACACCGGCATGGATGTTGGCACAAAAAAGGCACCCTGATCTGACCAGCAATCCGGGAAACGCCTTTCTGTGCAACAAGGAGCAACTGGCTGCAGGTTGGCTTGCGGGCTGCGTTTGAAGCATCACCATTTGCTTATGCAATCGGCAACCTAGGTCTATTTATTCCACAAAGTGTTTGGTGGCTTGGTGGCTTGGTGGCTTGGTGGCTTGGTGGCTTGGTGGCATTGAGGGTTGGTGGGGCGGTTCTTTGGTAGACCTATGCAGGCTTTTGGTTTGACACGCTTCATTCCGCCACCTCAAATGATTCTGTTTGCTTAGGAAGGTTTCCTTGGCAGTGGGAAGCCTCGGGAAGCTTCGGAGTTCACGTCCCGTGGTTCCGAATCCATTTGCAGATCCCACCACATTTGCCAGGCCAGCCTGGTGGCGCAGGCGCAGAAGCTGTTTCAGGCGCCGGCGCAGACTTGTTGCCGCGCTTCCGTGGCTCCACCATCCCCGGCTCCGTGGTTGGCGCTGTCTATGGGCTGTTGTGCAGCGTTTGGAATTGCTTCTTGCACGCTGACCCCGGGACCCCCCACGGATCAGCAACTTGTCAAGCTCCTCCACCAATGCTGCGCAGGCCGGCCAACGACCATTCAATGCCAGGTTGAGCTTGGCACGGGGATTGGCTGACGTGTGCTTCAGTCAGCAGTAAAGAGTAGGCGCTGATCACGGCGAAGCTCCTGTTGGGAAGGTATCGGTCAGCAGCAACAGACAGGTTTGGCTTCCATGCCATGCACGCGAGCGTATTTTGCCGCCAAGAGCCTGAACCAAGTCCATGCCAAACAGCAGGTGGTTGCAAGAATAGACCCTACAAACATAAAACACCCTAAGCTATTTTTCCATACCCCCTACTCCAAATACCCGCTCTTTCAAGATATTTTTTGAAAAACCGATCGGTTTTACGTGTTAAATGCCTCCTTCTTTTCGCGGCTTGACATGATTTCAGATTCCCTTAAAGCAGGTGTTTGGAGTACGGGGGTAGAACCCCCCCCAAATCCCCAAACCCCCAAAACCACAACTACCGAACCCGCCCCCCTTCAGGTTTTCCATGCCCCTCCCTTCCTTGCCCTTGACAAGTGGCTGTGGGTCAAAAAACCGATGGGATCCCATGTTGGGGTAGGTGAATTCACCACCCATTTCAGAACCTATTTTAGTGGTTGGATTGGCATGTTCACTGGGGGTACGATTTGGATTTTGCAAAGCCCATGGCCATGTGGAAATCGTGCGATGGAAACCACCCCCCCCAAACCCCAAAAAGCATAGAACTAGCGAACCCCCCTTGGTATGTTTTCTTTACCCTCCCCCCCTTTCAAACAAGGGCGCTCCAAATCCCACTTCGCCCAAATCCCCCTTTGGCGCGCCAGGCCATGCTGAGCGACACCTTCCAGGTGAGCTTCCGGCACATCGGGGGCGTGAAGCGGGCCAAGGAGGCGCAGCCGTCTCTGAGGCTTTGTTGGTGGCGAGGTTTGGTTCGGCCTGAGCTCCTCACTTCCCGAGTTCCTGGACTCTAACGCTTTTTTGACTTTTTTTGGGGTTTAGATGATTTTAGTGGCAAATAACAAGTTTGGACTGCTTTTTTTGGGCCAGCCACTCGATCGGAACTGAGCTGACACGGGTTTGAGTTGCCTGTTTGCTGTTTGGTTGGCCATTTTGTTTGGGGTTGAAAGGGAATTTGCGTGCTTTTGAAGCCCAGCCCTTTGTGTTGCTGCTGACAACCCCGCCTCAGTTTGGCTCTAGCGGGGTTTTTGCCACGTTGCCATTGGCCAGACTTTGCCTTTGCCTCAAAAGTTGGGCAAGGTGGCGTAGCCCTGGGGAATCAAGATGGTTAGGTTTGTTTTTTGTGGGGTGGTAGATTTGTTTCAACTCACAATTTTACTTGCATCGAGCTAGCTAAGCAGGCACTGGGACTGTGAAGTTTCTTTGGGGAACTTGCAGCTGACCAAGACCCCTGTCAGTCTGACTAGGGGCCTCTTCTGAATGCTTGTTTGACTCTATTCCAGCCCTTTCTCGGGGGCATCCCCTCTGGTTTCATCCGCTGTCCTGCTCTTCTTTCATACGCCGTCCAAGGGGAAACCACAGGGGAGGCCAAGGAAGCCGTCAACATTTTGGCACGGCAAGTTCTATCAAGCAGGGGTTGGGATTGGACAGTTGCCTTGGCTGAGCCAGTCGAAGACTCACTGGAACTCAATATGATCGCCAAAGGATGTGCGCCTGCACAGGTTTTGTGGCTTCCCCGCCTGCTTTTCCAGCTAGAAAGGAAAGGGATGTGCGCTTCCATCGGGCGGGACACAAAACATCCGGCTTGTGGTTTCTGAATTCTGCTATTCTCGATGCGGTGCAGGAAATCATTGTAGCAGGAGGCCGCAGAAACCACAGCAGCAAAGCAGGCCGCATGGCAAAACACATCCTGAAATCCTCCACGCGATTTGTTTGAATGTGGGGAGACACCCTCTTTCACCTGGGTTCAAAGGAAAGAATGGTTAAACCAACCACATGTTTGGTCCCCGAGTTTTCTCAAACCACCATGTGTGCCATGGTGAACTTACCTGGCTCCTGAGGGTTGTATACGCGGATGGATACAAACCTAGCAGGATTCCATGACCACCGCTCGGGAGAATCGACCACAGTGCATTTGCATTTGCTTGCACTTATTCTGGTAAGCTCAGGTGGGGGGAAAAGAGCTCACCCATGGTGAAGGTCCCTTACAGAGGGATCATTCAATCCATGTCACTGAATTATGGGTTGGTGTCCAGATGGGGATGCTCAGGTTGGTATATTAGATTTTCTCATATCGTATTGGATCATAACATAGTAATCCAAGTCACATTGTAGATGATATCATATGTGTTGTATTATATGCTTCATATTATATCAGCACATACAGATCGACACATTATGTATATAGACACATATCATACACGGCCATTCTCTCGTGGTTACTCGGCCGGATGGCCGAGCCGGCTGTGCCAGGCGTTCCTGCTGCAGACGGCGGTCTGCCTGAAGACTGGGGCGGAGAAGCACTACTGGCAGCCGCATGGCGAGCGTCTGCGCGCGTTCTTTGCTGGGTGGAGGGTTGAGAGATCTGGTCTGCGCCCTCCCGAAGAATGGGAAAATATGGAACGGGTCCTGGAAGACTATGTTCCTTTAAAGGGACCATTTGCCAGGTAATGACTCTGAGGCTATTCGCCTGAGCAACATGGCATTCAACATATGGGTGTCCAAAGTCGGTGGTTGTCCTTAAAAAAAGAAGCACCAAAACGGGGGTACCCTTAAAAAAGATACACCCGCAAATGGGGGGGTTTGCCTGGAATTCAAACGAGCTGACCGATGAGGGTCAGTTTCTTGGGGAGTTCTGAAGGCGGGTGGGGGAAGCAATGCAATTTGCAATGTGGAAATTGTGCGTTGGAAACCATCGATATTTTGAACTTTGTGCAAAGACAGTCTTCGGAAGCACTCTACCGGCTTACACTCAGCAGCTCTTCGAGTATGCTGGGCAGGGTGCTCAACAGAACAAGGGCGAGCATCCAACGTGTGATTTGGTTGGGTGGGGGAAAAGGCTGGGTAGTTTGGGATGTTACTGTATTTGTGCGGGTCGCAGAAATGGATGGAGGTGTTTCCCAATATTACATTGCCTCCCAAAGATAAACAACCAACAACGGACAGTTGAACACGCTCCAGCAGCAGAGACTCGAACTCGAACTTGAGACTCGAACTCGGTGTTCAAGAAGCAGAAAGCACCATGTTGCGCAACCTCTTGGTTCATCACAAGGCAGCATGTTGTGAGATCACACGGTCGCCTCCAAGAATCACACGTATTTCCCCTTCGAGCTGAGCCCAGTCTTATTGCGAGGACCACAACCACACAGAAAACATGGACGTTGCAGACAGCCATTGCACGCACCTGCGAGTTTGGGGTAATTATTTTTGCGCGCAGATGTTGGAAGGCTGGCCTCCATGGCTTGATGGAAAGAGGATGGCCCCCAAAATGAACAGCGAGACTTCCACTTTTTTGTCTGGGTGCACGAAAACAGGCGGGGACGGAAAAAAAGAGCCCACCGTTTTTTTTTTGCACGGATTTTTATTCGGGGGAAAACACCCAAGACGCAAGCAAGAAGAGCCGGCCGTCGGAGTGCGTCTTTCCTCGGCGTCGGTTCTGTCACATAATCTACTCTTGCAGGTAGTCCGCCCAAAACTAGGTCCACTCCTGGGGTGGTTTTTAAGCATCACCTTTTGGACCCCTCACTTTAAAGTGGAAACATAGGGACCCCGTTCAAACACCATCTCACCGCCACAAGCAATCACCTGCCTAATTCATGGCGAGCTCACTGGGGAACGAGCTGAACTGCCTTGCTCATGTGTACATGGAGACCAACATCGGAATCCCAAAAGGAGATTCCTGAAAGATGGTCGTTCGGGGCGTTCAGATTTTGGAAATTCGACAAGGAATCGTAGTGTGATTTTGGCCGAGATCCCCAATGAGGCTTAATCTACAGTGGAACCTTGCAAAGGGGGTATGGGTTCCTTCTGACCTGCCGTTCAAAGAGCCTCAAAAGGTATCAACTCCAACGAGAAGGAGCCACAGTGCGGAGTGTCCCAAAGCAGGGGCGCTATTTTTGCGGGGAATTATTTCCACCCCTACGGGGAATTATTTATTGTCCACTGCATTCCGGCAAGCAAGCGAGCAAGCAAGCCAGCAACCCATAAGCGCAACCCTAACCCCACCTCCTAAACCAACCCCAAAGCAACCCCTAACCGACCTTAAACCAACCCAACACCCTGACCGACCTGAAGCCGGCCCGAAAGCAACCCTACCCCTAAGCAAACCCTGAATCAACCCTAAGCCGCCTTAAGCCAACCCTAAAGCAAGCCGAACCCTACCCTCCTAATTCAACCCTGCAGCAACCCGTAGCCCACCCTAAACCAACCCTAAACCCACCTTTAGTCAACCCGAAAGTAGATGGCACAACTCCCTCATTTTGGGAAAGGTCATCCCCACTACCCACATCTACCGGGAAGTGTATCTGACTATTCAAAGCCACCCTTCGAGGGGGAAATACAGTCGGACAAACTCCGGCACCAGTCGGGAGATGATACATCCCAGTAAATAGGGTTTGATCTATCCCATGTTGACATGGTGAGGGACCCCCCGAAGAGGAAAGCAAGCACCTGAGATAATCCTTTTAAATAGGCCTTAGTCCAATGGGGTTGTTTGGGGCGCCCTGGGGGGATATTTTGGTGCAGGATTTCGTCCACGCATCTTGCGGAAAACGAGCAAAAAGCTTCGGAGCTCAGGCCGCCGGTAAGCGACCTCGCGGCGAAACTGCGGCGGAGCTTCTTCTTCGCCGCTCGGTTGAGGGCGGCAGAGACCAGTGTGCATATCCTTAGAGCTAAGGAGGCGATCTGTGGGATCTGTGGGTGCGTCCCCAAAATAGGGCGCCCCCTTTGTGGGGTTGGTTTCCGTTTGGGGAAGACTGAATAGTTGTTTTTGTTGGGTCGCTTTCTTTGGGTGTCGACGTGTCGTGGGGCCGTGGGGAAGACAGGAATAGTTCCGTTCGTGTTTAGTCGTTGTCTTTTGGGTGGGTATCGTTTTGCGGGCGTTGATGTGTCCCGGCCCTGATGCTTTTGGTGTTGTTTTGGGGTGTCCTAAACTAGGGACCCCCCTTTTGGACCATTTTGGAAATGGGTTGTCCGAGCATGCGTGACGCTTCCCATATTGCTCCGAACACCAGCACCAAAAAGGGCACCCTCCAAAACGACACCCGGCGAGTTTTCTTCTTCGGACGCCCCGGGAGAGCGAGCCGAATCCGAGCAGCTCTGTCCCATCTACACATGTGGTAAATTTTTTGCCCAGGGATGTTGGGACTTTAGCACTTCTTGCCAACTAGTGGGGTTTTCCGTACTAAACCACTAAAAGTTAAAAACTTTTAGCAGGGGAGCAGATTTCGCAACCGAGTACACATTTGGGCATGAACATTGGGTATCCCTGTAGGTACTCCAGCTGTCTCATCATCCCCAGATCATTTTCCCACACGTGAGGCTGAGGCTCACACATTCAACCAGAGACTCGACCCGACCCTTTGGGTGGGAAGCAGGATGGCAGGTGCGCAGTTTTCAACATCCCTGGGCTCATGAGATGCCGAGGATTCCCTTTCTCTGAAAGGTTGCAGGCTCTTCAGCGTTGGTCTCCAAGCTGCTTTTGATCTTGGCGGCTTGTGACGTCTTGGTATATTTGTTCTTTGCTACATTTTGCTTGGATGTTGGGACTTCAACTTTTGCCCACTAGTGGGCTTTCCATTAAACCACTAAAAGTTAAACTTTTAGCAAAGGAGCAGAAAGCAACTGAGTGTTATTAGTCTTTCTGTAGACGGAGCCTTGGCTGAAGCTTATTTTTGGCCTTTGTCGTCCGTTTTGTTAAGCTGCTTTCTGCCTTCCGTCTGGGCCAGGGTCGGGCAAACCTTCTCAAAACTTCGCAGGCCTGGTGCTTTATTCACGGGAAAGCGAAAGGAGGTTGTCAACAGTCTTGTGGTTTTACTTTCTATTCTTTTTGTTTTTTTTTTTTTTGGGGGGGGGACGAACAACCGGGCAGGACCGTTTACACCAACGAGCACGCGAGCGACATGGAGGTTTTTAATCACCAGCCTGTTCAACCATGGTTTCAACCATCTGGGCAATCAAGTTGCAAGCAAAAAAGGGACATCACCCCAGCTAGCCCAACCATGGCTTCAACCATCTGGACAATCAAGCTGCCCTGAAAAAGGGAAAGCGCCCCGGAGTTTTTGGGGCAACAGCCCTCATCTTTGTGGGTTTTCGAGGGTTTCCACCAGGCCAACTCCCCCAGCCCTCAATCTCTGGCCACGAGGTGGAGGGCTATGGAGAGCTCATGGAGGACTGGGGTTGGAAGGGCTTGGAATCAACTGGCCTTCCACTCAATCAGGCCTCGACTTTCATTCACTCAGTCCCTGTTGCAACCAGATTCCGCCCCTTTTGTCCAACGGTTTTTTGGGAAGCCAGTCTATTCCGCCCCGATGGGGGTGGGGAAGGGTTCCCCTTCAACCTCAACCAACCCCAATAAAAAGGATGCCCCCTTTTTGGTCCCGTGGCCGCTGGGCAGCTGATTTGTATGTTGCCGCCTCCAATGTTAACTTGGGTGTGTCTCCCCCTTTTTTGCTGGGTTTTAACGGGACGCTGAAAGGAACACCGAACACTGCCATTTTTGGGGTCCGCTCAAATTGCTGGTGCTCTGCAGGGAATGAGACATGGCATGACCCCCATAAATATCCATAAACCATCCAACTGGGGGCGTCCTTTAAGGGGACCAAAGCCCAGGTTCCTTCCATTTCTCATTCCCTACTCATCGCACCAGCAAGAAGAAAGGACAAAGGGACCCACTTAAGAAAGGGACATCCACCGAAAAGGGAATTGCTACCTCCACTTAAAACGCAGACGCCCACCTACTTGTTTTTCTTTTTTCTGTTTTCCTTTTTTGTTTAACGGATTTGCTACCTTCACTTCACAGAAGGCGACCGATGGTCCGTGTGAAGGACTGGATGCAGCAGCGCCGCGTGAAGCTCAACGAGGAGCCAAGTGGCTTCTACGTTGATCGATAAGGTCCCTTCCAACTGGGGGGGGAGCCTGCTGACCTGGATCTTCTGATATGGGTACGGGTCAACATTAAACCACCAGGGGACCGCAGGTTTTAGTCTTTGTTTCCATTTACCAGGGTTCCATTTTGGGTACCTATTTTTGACCCATATATATATATATATATATATGTTCCAGGCTTCCTTGGTCCCCCCCCCCAGCCCCCCCCCCCAATGGTCATGCTCAGTCGAGAAGGTAGCACAGTGTGACCCTACAAGCCCCCGCCCCCCTGTGGGATGGGTGGGGGGGTCCAGGGTTCCCACCCCCCCGCCCCCCTGTGGGAATGGGGGGTGGGGAGAATGGTAGCACGACCATGGTTCCCACACCGCCCGCTGGGGTAGCAAGCAAAGTGTGTTTGCCACTGGCGCGTTGCAGCGCACTTGGTTGGCACTTGGTTGTGGCGCTGCACACCACAAACTGCGTCGTGGCATCGCGCACTGTCAATTGCGACAGCGCTGCAACTTGTCGCGTGCTGCAAAATGAGCAAATCGCATTGCAGCGCATCACACGAACAGCGCCGCAAACGCGCCCACAACGTCGCGCGCACACTGGAGCAAGCCGCCCCACAAGCCCCCCCCCGCTGTGTGGGGGGTGGGGGCGGGGGCCAGGGTCCCCCCCCCCCCTGGACCCATACCATTGGGGGGGGGGGGGGGGCTGGGGACGACGGGCGACGGGAACATATATATGGTCAGCCCCGGATGGGGAACCAACCTATAAGTTGTGCATGCAGGACCAATGGACCCCCCGCAAGTTCTTGTGCGGAACATCTTTTCGGATTCCACGTGCGCTGGGGAGGAAGCGGCACACCGCCGCGCACGGCTTGGGAAACAGCTTGATGTCCAGAGGCTGAGTTGACAGTCGCTGCGATGGGCCCTGTGTGAGCTTTCGCAGGATTTGAATCCTCCTGGGAGACTCGGATGCATGCCTGCAATGGCAAACAGCAAAGAACAGAGGGCGACTCCAAATCAACGCTTTCCTTTCTGCCGTTTAAGCATCCTCTGCAAAGTTGGATGGTGTTTGAAGGTACCCTCACAGAAGCAAACATAGAACCTGCACAGGGTCCCCTTACTAACTGTATATATATATATATATATGTATACATATATGGTGATTGCGTTTTCTTTTCTCAATCGGCCAAGCTTGTTTGGTGAAACAGGGATGTCTTAGGGCCAAGTAAAGATCTTGCTGCGTGCGAAGTGGACTGCGCTTAGACTTCCTGTTCTGCTTTTTGTGTGGGGGGCGGGGGGTAGCACACATACATACAAGATAGACTTAAACCCATGGGTGCTCCTCTTGGGGGGAATGAACCACCCCTGGGTTTAAGTCTATCTTGGGGTCGTCAACAAGTGGAACCCTGCATACATATACCGCCATTATGGGAAGTTCTGCAGTGTAAACTGCAAAACCAAACGGCGAACTCCAGGAGTTCGTGCAGCGGGCAACCAGCACGCTGAGCACCAACTTCCAGGAGGTGCTCTCAAGGCTGCGCCAGATCTTCAGGCGCGTTGAGAGGGCTGGGCCAGGGTTTTGAGGGTTTTCAAGTGGCACCTCAGTGGAACCTCAGTTTTCAGGGTTTTCAAGTGCAGGTTTCAGGGTTTCCTCAGTGGAACCTCCAAAAGTGGCATTTTCCATGGAGACCACCAGTCAATTGCAACTTTTGAAGGGTAATCCAATGACCCCTGTCGTCAATGGGTTGGTTTGTTTGGTAATTATAAGGATGGTGTGTGGGCGTAGGCTTGGGTTGGTGTATGAGTGTTGGATTGGTCCATGTGCTCCTTTGTGGAACCTCCAAGCGTGTTGTATATGGGGTGGCTTATTGGTATTTATAGGATTGGCTTGTGGGTATAGGCCTGGTGTGTGGGGTGGTGTATGGGTTTAGGGTGGGTTTAGGGTTTGCTTGCGGAAATCGGGCTGCTTTAGGTTTGGTGATGGGTGTGTAAGGTCAGGTGGGTGGGTGCCTGGATCGGAACCAGTGTTTGGGCCCATAAACCATGGCGTGGAGGTGCCCTGTGTTTGCACGGTGAAAACGGTCAGTTTGGGGTTGGAAAAACAGGCCCTGAAAAACAGTTCCAGGGTAAAGCTCTTTTGGAGTGGGAGGGTTAGCCAAGGCCGAACAAATTCCGGATGACTAGAGTCCGACGGAGTGGAAGGACAAACTGCTGCAGTTTGCTGGGCGGTTGGTCAACCCGTTTCCAGGTCTATCCCTTTTGTCCAAACAAGGTGGACCCTGTGGGCAAAATCGCTGGTTTGGCTTGTGGCAACGGTAGGAGAAAAATCAGGCGCAAGCAAGGGGCTTTCTTGTTGAACTTTTCGAGGCGTTTGTCGTGCCTTTCAGTACTGCACCTGCACCGACTTGTGGTTCTTTGAGCGCAATCTCGTAGTCGAAATGCATTGAGCGCCACTTGGATGTCGCGATGATGTACTCAGTTGTCAAAAAACAGACACTTGTAACTTTTGGAATGCACCCATGCTATTGCAGCTATGTGTGTGTTTGAGCAGCGGGATGGATTGACTTTCACCGACAATAGTACGACGTCTTCTGGATTGTTTTGCACGGCTTCATTCAACTTGAACAAAGGGGGTTCAACTACACACCCACACACGTGTTGGAAGTATGTACGTATCTATATATATATATATATGTCTACTAATAATATATATATATATATATACACATATATATATATATGTATACATACATGCATACATAGTGCATATGCTGCTTCAACCGAGGAGCACCTGAAAGCTGAAGGAACCCGGGCCCCTTCCCAAGGCCTGGCCGCTGGATGTTCGTGTTGGATCCCCGAGTGGAGGGGGCCCGGGCCTCAGAGCTTCGGAGTTGGCTCTTTATGGGTCTGCAAGGGGAAGCCAAAAGGGAAACTACTGTTTTACATGCATGTGAGTTTATGTGTTTCTTTATTTGTTTATTGTTGTTATTGTTAGTATTCGTATTCTTATTATCATTATTGTATGTTTATTTTATGTTGTTTTGTGAGGAGGGAGAGGTCGATTGAGTTCCTGCCCCCCCCCCCCCCCCCTAAAAAAAGCAAGAAACAAAAGAAACAAAGAAAAGGAACATTGACAGCATTCACGGGGCAGCCTTTTTAAACCCTGGCCGTCACTGCGAAGGTCTTGGGAAATATGCGATCAATCGTGGAGTGTGAAGTTTGCAAACATCAGCGGCGACTTGTGTGCCTTGTGAAGGACAGCATCTGCATCCTTTTCAGAGGGACGCATCTCTGCAGGTGGTTTGGAAGACAAACACAAGTAGCCAATCAGTTTTGGGGCTCTCCTCACATTTCCGGAAAACATAAGCAGTGCTTGGTTTGGGTCAGGGTTTGAGGGCGACCGGTCGGGTGCCCTCCTCCAAAGTGGGGGAGGAGAGGAGGGGAGGCAATGGGAGAGGGGAGGCGATGGGAGCGGGGGGCGTGCCTTGTCCCCGCTCCCATCGCCTCCCCTCTCCCATCGCCTCCGCTCTCCCATCGCCTCCCTTCTCCCATCGCCTCCCCTCTCCCATCGCCTCCCCTCTCCCATCCCTCCCCTCTAACTCTTTCGAAGTAGCTACGTTCTTTTTTGCCCCATGCTATTATGGCTCCCTGCTTGTTCACACTACTCCAAAAACAGTGACATCACCCCCATTGTTTTTGTTTTTTTGTTTTTTTGTTGTGTGTGTGTGTGTGTGTGTGTGGGTGGGTGGGTGGGTGGGTGGGTGGGTGGGTGGGTGGGTGGGTGGGTGGGTGTGGGTGGGTGTGGGTGGGTGTGTGTGTGTGTGTGTGGGTGTGGGTGTGGGTGTGGGTGTGGGTGTGGGTGTGGGTGTGGGTGTGGGTGTGGGTGTGGGTGTGGGTGTGGGTGTGGGTGTGGGTGTGTGTGTGTGTGTGGGTGTGGGGAGCCCCCATTTTTTTTTTGTAGTTTGACAGGCCATATCCTGGGAGCTCAAAGATTGTCTCACGATCCCAGGACCTCATCAGCCTCTTGCTGGACGAGTCCTTCCCCCGGCACGTGCTGAGCACCCAGTCCATCTCCCGGCTGCTGGAGATGGTGGGCTCGTATGGGGGAGATGCGGCTTGGCTTCTGAAGCTTCTTCAGCTTTTTCTTCTGTCTGGGGGGGGGAGGGGGGCGGGAGGGCTACAGAGAGGTGTAGGAAGCATTGGGGTTTCAAAATGGGTGGTTTCTTTGGTTTCCCTTTTCAAAGCAGCGGGCCGGGGGGAGGGTGGGAATAGGAGGTTGGGGGTGTTGCTTTCTTGGGGGGGAGAAGAGGTGTAGGAAGCATGTGGAAAGCATGGAGTTTTCGGTTGCCAGTTTTCCACTGCAAAGGGAATCCTCTGAAAGTGATCAAGTAGTCGTGAATCAAAGTGAGGATGCTCCACTTTGGTGTAGGGATGATCATGTTAGAAAGCGACAAGGGGCTTCAGCCGCTCTCTCCAAAGAGGAGCCGCTCTCTCCAAACGGGGCTTCTTGAAAATGGGCCACTTTTCTTGTCTGAAGCTTGGGCGACTTTGTCTTTAGTTCAGAAAAGTCCAGTCCTTTGGAGAGGGGATGGAGCAAGGACTCCTAGGCGAGGGGTGGACGTAGTTGTTCCTTTTTGAGGGTGTACCCCCTTTTTGAGCTTGTTGAAGCGGAAACACATTTTGGGGGATTCAAATCCCTATTTTGACACAGGCCATCTTGGGCATTTCACAGTTTTCCAGGTCCCTGCCAGGTTTTTTTGGTGAGAAGCAGAAGCGAAACATGAAGGCTGCACAGTGCGGGAGCGATTTGAGTAGCTGAGTACCCAAAGTGACTGCTCTGAGCTTTGAAACTTGGAGGAATGCAGGCCTGCGTTCCTTCCCTCTCCCATCATTCCACGTTTTTCCGATCGAAGCCCTTCGCATGGTCTTGGCATGCTCCCAAATCCTTGTTACGGAAGGTGCCCAGAACAATGGCGTTGCGGAAACTTGGATTGGCGAACCCTCCGTTTGAAGAGCCCAGCCAAAAGGCGACATTTCTCCGTTTTCGTTGGTTTGATGGAACATTAACACGGGTTTCAGAGCAGCTGCCATCTGTTCTTGCAGAAGGGCACCTATTTGGCCGCCTCTGTTTGGTCACGTTCCAACCTCCGAAATTAGGTTTACTGGGTTCACAACCCTATTAGCCAAGAGGTCACAACAGGGGACCCCAAAATGGCATCGGTTCTCCTTTTGATTTCCCTTTGCGCCCACCGGAAAAGGGCACCCACTCCAAAAAGCACAAAGCCAAGTAGGAAGAAGACATATCAGTCCAGCAGGCAACCAGCCATTTTTTCCTTCAGGCTGATCCCCTTGTCTCACTCCCTGAGCTGCTTTTTGGGTTTTCGACCATTTTGTTGGTAAGCCTCAAGAACAACTTTTTCGGGTTGTTCATCCACCTGATCGCAGGGGGGTCTTTTGGCACCTTTGGTGGAAAATTGATTGACCCCCTCGTAGTGAAGGGCTCCTTTTTCAGGGGCTCGTCCATTTTCCCACCAAAGGTGGCAAAAAGACCCACCCACCTTTCTGGACTTAGTCACTTTTTGGGTGACCATTTTGGTGGTAATCTTGCCAAAGTTTTTCCGTTTTTGGTTGCCTGCTCGGAGGTGAGAGTTGTTTCGCGCCCCGCCGAGGACTTCCACATCTACAACGAGATCGCGCGGCTGCCGCCGCTGCGCCAGCCGCCCTCGGCGGGGCCGCAGGATCGGTGGGATTTATGCGCCAAAATTCCGGGACCCGAGCCCAAAATGGGTGGCTGGTCTGTTTGTAGGGGGAACCCCCCCCCCCCAAGTGGTTTCGTTGTGGCCTTCCCTTAAAACCACCCCCCCCAAATGGTATACCCAAAAAAGAAGATGCTGAAATAGATTTCGGCTTTCCTTTTTCTTGGTTTCCCTTCTACCTTTCCCCAAAAGGTATGGGGCCCATCCCAAACCCATCCAAACACGAAATTGGGAGACCCTCTTGTCCATATTGTCATGAACCCACCAGAGAACCCTTTTTAAAAGGAGAATGGTCTTCCATCCCCAACGTGAGGTTCCATGCTTGTGGCTGGGAGGTCACATCGTGGCGGCATTTTTTTTTTCACAAGGCTCAAGGGGGGAGTTTCTCAAAATATCCTCCGAAAGGAGTTGGTTTTCTTTTGGTTTCCCAGACACCAGCCAACAGGGGCATCCCGAAATCAGTGATACCAAGTTTCAGCTATCCTGACTTGTCACTTTGGGGTTTCCTTCATAGAAAAGTCACTTTGGGTTTCTTTCATAGAAAAGGCTCAATGCCTTTAGAGGGTACATGCAAGCCAAGAGGTTTCCCTTTAGTTTTCAAAGTGGAGCGACCAGAATTCAAAAGGAGCAGGTGGCAAGAAAGCTCCTTTTGAGTTCCGGAAACATATGTTCAAAAACGCCTTCATGGAAACACATGAACCACGTGAACCACCCCTGTGGTTGCCTTCATGGAAACACATGGAAGCCAATATCGGCTCCCCCAATCAAAAACCTACTGGATGCACTGAATTTGGAACCTTCCATTTCTCTTGAAACCTTGGCTGTTATGTTTTCCGGTTTTCCTCATGTGGGTGTGGCTCAAGATTAAACAGGAGGGGTTACGCAGGTTTTGGTCCATGTTTCCACTTACCAGGGCAGCCCATTTTGGGTACCGGCTTTTTTGAGCCACAGCCATGTTGGGGTCTTCCAACAATCAAACCCGCTTGGCTGTTTTCCTCATGTTAGTCCCCAAACACTCCCCTGAGCCCACAAACCGCCTGACTTCCCTCGCGCCTTTTCCTTCTTCCTCATGTTGGGGTCTCCAAAAACATCCCTGGGCCCCTACGCCCGTCACTTCCGGCGAGCCCAAGCGCGCTCGGAGCCTCGCGCGCGCGCGAGCCCAAGCGCGCGAGAGGACCTCACGGAGGCGGCGCTGCTGGAGCTGCTGCGGCGGCTGCCGGGCTTCGGGTTCCTGCCGCGCCTGGGGGCGGGGAGGTATCGCTTCGGGTCACTGGAGGCGGGATGGATGGGAGGATGGGAGGGGAGGGATGGGAGGATGGGAGGATGGGAGGGGGATGGGTGATGTGTATGATTCTGTGCTTGGTTTTGTTTTGCTTTGTTTGCTTTGCTTTGCTTTGCTTTGCTTGTTTTGCTTGCGTGTCTTCTTTTGTTTCTTTGCTTGCTTGCTTTGTGTGCTTTCTTGTTTGCTTCTTGTGTTTGTGTGTTTGTTGAATGTGTGCTTTAGGCTTGTTTGTTTGTTTCGCTTTTTTTTCTTCTTTGCTTGCTTTGCGTGCTTTTTCTTGTTTTGGTTGTGTGTTTCGTGTTCTTCCGTTTTGTTGTTGCTTTTTTTGGGCGGGGGGAGGAAGGTGTGGTGTGGCTTCTCTCTCCCAACTTGAATTCTTGAGTCTCCTGAGGTTGAAGGTGGGAGGGAGGGTTGGTTGGGGGGTAGGGTTGGTAGACGGATGGTGTATTTAGAGTTGACCTAGCTTAGGGTTAGTTTATTAGTTTAGGAGGGGCGTCGGTCTTGTTGAGGAGTTGGCTGAATCTAGTTTCATTCACGTTGAAGGAACGCCCCTTCCGGGGTTGCTTAAGAACTACCCAGTGGATCCATTTACCCGGTTTGAGGACCAAGGGTGTCGGCCCTCTAAGAGCCAAAAGGAAAACAGCTGGTTACCTAAGTCTCTGGGATCCACGTGACACAAAATCCAGTTCGCGGGATGGTTCCCTGGGATCCACTGGGCTAGTGCTTAAGCCATCTTTAAGACAGAAGTTGGCAACCTGAGGTTGGATTTGGGGCGGAAAAGGGGCGGGAGGCCGGTTTGAAGGCTAGGTACGGGTTGGGCGATCGCTTTTCCGTCCTTGGTTATGTTTGTGTTTTAATGTAGCCACGTGGTCCGGGGGCTACTCCATTGGCGGATGTGCCTGTTTTGCGCACCTGTACTGAGTGATGTGTTGATTGAACCTTCCGCCCTTTTTTCCCACTTGGCTCAACTTTTGGTTTCCATGGTGCCAAAACCACCCACCCACCAACACCCCCAACCCCCCCCACCCCAATCCCTCGCCCCCTGTGTCGCCCCCGCCCCCCCGCCGCCTCATGCCACGGCACTGCAGGTGCTCTTCCACATGACCGGCACGGAGCTGGCGGCGCAGGTCATACAGCCTCCGTCCACCGAGGCGAGGGAGGGCTGCTGGGCTGATGGGCCGCTGGGCTGCTGGGCTGTTGGGCTGTTGGGGTCCTTGGAAGGCTACATTTGGCCGAAACGCATGTTTATGAGCTGACAAGCTGATTCTGTACTTTGTGTGCGTGTGTGTGTGTGTGTGTGTGTGTAACGCAGCTGGTTTTTGGATGTATTCTTTCACCTGAAACCTGAGAACATTCTATGTGTCAGGTAGGGATCCCAAAAGTGAATCTCGGTTTTGCTTTTGGCTTTTCTTTAACCCAAGGTGAAGGGGTATTGACCTCGGATGAATACGTTGCCCGCCTGAATAATAGGGGCCTTTCCCCTTTTGGTGGGGATTCAGACCACTTTGGGGGCCAACACCGGGGCTACTGAAAATAGGACGCTTTGACATTTACTCTCCCTCCAACAAACATAGCACCTGTGGGAGGGTACCCGGATCATGACTTTCCTCTTTGGGGGTACCCTGTGTCAGTTGTCATGTTAGTGGGAGGGAGAGTACGGTCAACTCACCATTACCAACACCCCTCCATGCGGGTTGCCCGTTCTTGTCTCGTCGCTTCACTCGTAGGTGATGCGCGCTGTCGACTTCTTCTCCCAGCGGGGGCCGCAGGCAGGGCCTTGCACAAAGACCCTTCTTCAGCCAGTGACGAGAAACCGCAGGAAGCCAACTATATGAATGGTGGGGGGGAATTGGTCTCGCGGTTGTTTCATAGGTTTTGCACATGACCAGAAAAGGTGGGGACGAATTTATCATACCATTTTACCACATAACCATATGTTTCACCCATTTTTCCCAACGAAAGCTGTGGGGTCCACGTTTGCCCAGATAGGCGACAGGGGTTTCCGGGGGCTGTTGGAAAAATATGAACTGGGCTTATAGCAGGCCTTAGCCCTCCCACAAAAGAGAGGTGGTTGTTCTGTTGGTGTCCCTTTAAAATCAACCAAAGGGGTGGCTTACTTGTTTTTTGTTTCTTTAGAGGGGGGGAGGTCCTAATTTTGGGGGTGTTGTAATTGTGAGCCACACCCAGGTTGGAGCAGTGACCACACACCTTCTCTCGTTCAAAACTAGGACCTTCCCAAAAAAGCAACAAAAATCAACAACAGTACGACATTTCTTGGTAGATTTTAAAGGGACACCAACAGAACAACCACCTCTCTTTTGTTGTGGGGGGGGGGGGCCTTTTGAACGCCCCACCGGACCCCAGCCACCCGCCCCTTGCCCGCCCGCCGTCGAGTGTTTGCCTCTCGAGGAGTTCCCAAGCGCGGCCCTGGACGCCGTGAAGGCCTCCGATGCGCTGGGCCTGGCGCCCACCATGCCCCTCGGTGCTGGGGGCGGGGGGAAAGGGGGTGGGGGAGGGGGCTGGGGGAGTGGCGATGTTTGGGATGGTTTCCTTTTCCTTCATTTTCCTTGTTTGTTTTTGCTTTGGTTGGTTTCCCTTGGTTTCCTTTGGTCTCTCTTGGACAACAATGTGTTTCCTCTTGGCTTCCCTGTACCGCCAAAAGAAGGGGTACCAATTCCAAAAGAAGCGACGCAACCTGCAAAGAAGCTACATGTTTTGTCTCCGAGCATGGGTGTCGGTGTAGTAAAAATAGACACAATGGCTACTTGAGTGTTCGGCCAGGCTAGATGGTTGTTGGTAGGTTCAGGATCCCCCGAAGTAGGGTTCACCATGTAAGGGGATTATACCCCAACAGGTTGCGGTTGGTATTAAACATCACCTTTCTGGCATGAGTTCCCCTGTGTTTCGTGGGATCTCAGGAAACCCCTCCAGGGTTTCCCCCCAAAAAGGATTGCCCTCAAGACAAAGACACGCCAAGGCAGGTACCATGAGAATGGACAAACATCAACGGCAACAATAAGAACAGGCACATAATTAGATGAGTACCAGAGGTAAATTGATAAACGATGCGTATTAACAATCAATGATATATAGATGTATATTCTACTTTTTGTCAACCTACATTTCTTGGTTTTCCCAGCATGCTTTGGCGACATGCGCATTCAACACTGCCTGTTTGTAGAAATGATCTGGTTTCTCATGTTGAAGAAGCCGACAACAGCCCTCGGAAGAGCGTTCGGGAGGGTTCCGGACATTTGGTTCCAGGGGGTGGTGCTGTTGGGGAACCCACCTCCCATTTGGAGGCTCACTAAGCTCAGCAGGCTTCGGGATATTTAGCCATGGGTCAAAATCCTGTACCCCCGGTGAACATCCCACTCCCCACCAAAATAGGTTTTAAAATGGGTGGTGCGCCTACCCCAAAATGGTACCATTGGTTCTGACCCACATTTGGGCACGTCATGCTTTTTCTGTTTTTCCCGAGTTGGTACCCCTGGGAAGCGAGAACAGGACAACCGCCATCCTGGAGTGCCTGGACATTGTTCGTTGGGTGTCAGGCAATGGATGACGCATTGCGTTTTTTTTGGTGTATGGGGGTGTAATTCTGAAACAGTCTGGTTGATGTCGCGATTCTGGGAAGCTGATTTGAGTGTTTCTGAGTGGCTCGACTATGTTTGTTGCTGATCTAAAGCTGGCCAGAGGACCAGCCACATCCTTTCCAAACGAAGACAGAGATTCACCGCACCAGAGCCAGCGTCATGTCCTACTTTTTTTTTGAATACCATGAAGGCTGCAAAGGAGTGTTTGTCGCAAGATACTCGGAATGTTTGAGATGGCTCCAACATTTTTACCCTTACAAGCTGCTTGGACGACTGGATCTCTTGCCTGGACCTAGGACCATCCAAGACGGCTCTATGCCGAGCTTTGGCATGGCCTTGGCGCCGTCCCTTGGGGCGCCGGCTTTGGGGGCGCCCTTGGGCGGTCCATCCCTTGGCGCGCCGTCCCTTGGCGCGCCGTCCCTTGGCGCGCCGTCCCTTGGCGCGCCGTCCCTTGGGGCTCCGTTGCTTGGCGCGCCGTCCCTTGGGGCTCCGTTGCTTGGCGCGCCGTTGCTTGGGGCGCCCTTCGCCCCTGCTTGGCCGAAGTATGGCATCGAGGATGACGAGATTTGAGGCGAGGATTTCGGGCCAGAGCGAGCGTTGGTCTGGCTTCTCGGCGTGTGAGTGTTTGTTTGAGGGCACCGGGGGAAAAAAAAAACAAGGAGATGTTTTGCTGAGGTCACCCTATTTTGACACATACCCGGCTGAGTCTCGAGACGGGGAAGCATGCTTTGCTTGGCCTGGTGTTTGAAGCAAACACCATTCAGCCCCTTGCCAAACTGCTGGAAGAAAGCCAGGCTTCAAGTCAAGCTCGGAGCACGTACGGGTATGTATTTCTTGTTTTTTTGTTGTGCAGGCCAAAGGAACCCACTGGTTCGGTCGGAGGAGGGGGTTCCCCTCTTAGAGACAACCCATGTACTCTAGGTCGCACCGAAGTGGCGTCTCTGAGCCCAAGAATCCTCCTGGCCTGCGGTTTGCGTCATGAATGCGGCTATAACTCTCCCGCAAAACATGGCTGTGGGTCAAAACCAATGGTACCATTTTGGGCTAGGTGCACCACCCATTTTAAAAACCTATTTTAATGAAAATTAAAATGCTCACTGGGGGTACGATTGGGATTTTGACCCATGGCCACATGGCATCCGAAAAACCTGCCGGTGTGAGAAGTTCGAATCTGCTTTTTGGGGGACCCCGTTTTGGACAACCCAGGTTAGGCTTCGACGCATCCATGCGCCCAGGCGGCAGCACGACGGCTCGCGGGTTGGCCGTGGAAAAGAAGTTGCGTAAGTATGACCTGGGTGCGTGTTTTTTGTTTGTTTTGAGTTCGTACCCTTGTCGCCTTGGTGTCATGGCAAACTCACTCAAGGTAAGCAGCAGCGTGCAGGTTCTCCTTCGGGGGATGCGCTGTCCAGATTCTCGCATGTAGCTTTTTCTGGCCGCCCGTCAAAATTGTCCAGCTTTGAAGACTGACCTGGTTTTCAATGGTAGGTGCCAAAGCTGGAACCTTGCACATTTCCTCCTCTCACCTCTTTTTAAGGCATGAATTGCTTTTTCAGAAAACTTGGATTCATTTCCTTTGCCTGCTTGGGACTGGCATCCTTCCTTCCCGTCCTTTCGGGTGCCTGAGGCTCACCACCGGCAGTACTTGCAGGGACCGCGTGCACGCCGGCTCGCTCCGCGCATCCGTGCGCAGGCGGGGTTGGTTGGGGAGAACATGGCTATACGGGGGAGCCGGACACAGAGCCGGTTGGGTAATGTTGACCCCACATTAAAAGCCCCAGTCAATCAATAGGGTGTTTTTTCACAGGGCCCTGGTTTTAGTGGGGAATCAGACCACTTTTTGGAGGGGCCCTCACCCCCCTATGAATAAACAGGGGTTGATGAATATGGGCTCAGCATGGCAGCCGTTCAGGAGCTACCGATCGGAGTGGTTGGATGGGTCCACCTTGTCACCGAAATGGCAAGGATCCAGATCGGACGGTGGCAAACCAGCCGACCCCTTCGTTTTCGCCAGCCTTTTACCGTTTCTTTTTTGGGGAGGAGGGTTCCCCTACGAAAATAGACTACAGAAAAAAGGGTAGCCTGATTCTAATTAACCTCTCAACTGGAGGACCTAGCCAGGGTTGCACCAAATAGGTTCTGGACCGGGCTTCGCAGGGGAAGCAGGGAAGCAGCGCAGCAAGAAATGGAATCAAGCCCCGCTGGGCGTAAGTTTTTCCACATCCTTCTGTTGCCGTGTTGAGACTTTTTCAACGAAGACTTCACATGTTGCAAGGGCCGGAATTCGCAAAGCCAGCCCCTCACTTCAGCAGTTCTCCAAGTTGGCCTAATTCCTCGCATTCCTTTTCTTGGCATGGACCCTTTTCGCTATTTTGGTTCTATCGACCTTCAATTATTGGTTTGATAATACGTGTATTTTTCGTCAACCAACAAAAGATCTAGATTCTGCACTACGGGGGCAATAGCCACAGAGCCTCGGTTTCAGGTTCCCCTCAATTGATTTGGATTTGGACTCGAACCCCTGGCTCTTGAGGATAAATGGGAAGCTACCGCTAGCTCCCAAACCACGAAACCAAACCGGCGTCTATCTTTTCTAGGGAACCACCAAAAATGGATGGTTTTCCTCTTGGTTTGCCTTTAAACCAAAAAATGGGTACCCTCCACAAAAGGACCCCCACCAGCAACTAGGGGGGGAAGCTGACGCTTCGTTTCTCGGCCGTAGATTTCGGATGCTAGCCTCGCCCTTGCAGGGCTGGATGTCCAATGCTGAGCGACACTCGGCACGCGTACCGTGGGATGACAGGAGTGCGACGGTTGCGAAAGCACCGGGAGGGGGGGGGGGAGATGGGGGGAGTCAGGCAAGGGGGCGGAATGCACCGGAAGGTGCTGGACTGAAACGCTCGAAGGTTTGCTTTTTGAGATGGAAGAGTTCTCGCAAGATATTTAAGATTCAGCTGTTCTTCCAGGAAAGAGCGGAGCGGATTTCGCGTCGTTGTTTGGTTTATTTGCGGCAACTCCCCGGTGAAAGAGTTGCGAGTTGCCGCCCTTTTTGGCGGACCTTCTCAATGGCTATCACCCCAACAAAATGTCATGTCCGCTCAGATTGCCAAGCAAGCAGACTCCCACCAGCCTCCGCCTTTGCGCATGCAGAATGAAAGCCTCAGAGAGAATTGCAGAAACAATTGGTCAACAAGGGAAGCCTCAGAAAGAACCTGCTTCCCTGCTGCCTTGCAAGCGTTGGGTCTCGCCCTCAGGAAATTGCTGGACACAAATTGTTACCTATCTGAACAACACCACCAGGGGTCCCCAGTTCAACTTGTCTCCGCATAGGGAGCCGGCGTTAAAAGAAGAAAGTGCATGGCGAGGCTGTTTCTGGCCCGCTGCATGCAATAATTATTCTTTTAAAGCATGGCAACGATTGTTTGCCCAGCCCTGTGCGCTTGCCGCGCAGTGTCGAGTTGTTGGCTTTTTGTTATCTCAATCCAATAGCTGTCCTGCCATGTATTGCCTGAGGGTTGGGTTTTTCAAGTGTAGGTGTTTCCTGGAGCCTTCAAGAATCTAAGAAGTCGGGCTAGCATCTTTGGGAGGTGTGGGGAAGCCGTGGTTGCGCGCAAGCTCCGGCCGTCTTGGAACCTGCCCTTTTTGGCTCCTCTGGCGCCCGACGAGGAACGGGAGATGCCCAGCAACAGTTTGTACCTGGCAACACGCAGACGGTTTTGGGGTTTCTGGTTTTCTGACCTCCGAGATACCGAGCATTGTCGTGACATCGGCGGAGAGAAGCCCAACAAAGCCAGCGACCCACGGAGAAGGGATACCCTGGGCCGAGCGCACCGGGCCATGGCGCTGTCGCGGGCCAGCATCTCAGAACTCCTCCGGTCGCGCGGGTGACCCCCGATTTCGCCAGCTGCGAAAGGGCGCGCGGAGGTCTTCTGGGCAACCTGTGCTGTCTGAATCTTGAAAGGGAGGTCCTGTAGCTTGGAGGAAGTGGTTGGCTGGTCGAATGAACTGTTCATATTAGATGTTTGCAATCTATGCAGCGTGCGCACTTTGGGCGTGGGTTGTTGCTGACGTCTTGATCACTTTCGGTTTGGGTCAGCCGCTTCCAATTGACCCGCCTCGATTCGGGCAAATCCACTTTTTGGGTGTCCGCTAACGAAGGGCTCTCAACCTGGCCTCCATTGGCTGGGGTACCATTGAACCCACCAGGTTTGGTTAGGAGAAAATGGTCCAAACCAAGATGTGAGGTTCCATGTTTTTTTTTTGGATAGGATAAGCTTCTAGCCATTTCAAGCTTCCTTTGCGTTTCACTGAGTTGAGAATGGTCTCCTTGGGGGCCAACAATGTTAACGTGGACATGGGGAAGCGGCGTGTCCATGTGAAAGGGAGAGTGGTTCGGTCATCTCCGGATTTGTCTCTGGTCCATTTGGGACATAGGGTTTCAGCCACAGAAACCAAAAAAAACTGTCCATACCCACATACTTGTAGGCAGTATCTGCGAGTTTGGAGTATTGAATCTTCCAGGGAGTGTTTGGGATATGTACAGCACTTCGCCGCCCCTCCCCGGCCACCCCGCCCGAAACGGCTCCTTCACTCTTGGAGGCCAAGGGCCTCAACATCACCAAGAATGACACCCGCCGCATGGAGGAGGAGGCGAGCGTTGTTTGGTTGGGGTTGGTGACCTGGTGGGGGTGGTGGGGGTGGTGAGGGTGGTGGGGGTGGTGGGGGTGGTGGGGGTGGTGGGGGTGGTGGGGGTGGTGGGGCTGGTGGGGTGGCGGTTCTCCCAGATTGTAAAGTGTCGCTGTTTTGGGTGGGGTGGTTCCCAACCTCGTCTGCCCTCAAGCCGGGGTGGGGAAATTGCAACCACGTTGGTCCCATTCTGACGTGATGTCCAAATTCGGTTTCCCTTACCCGCCCTCCAACATGGCACCAAGGGGTTCCTTCAAGAGGTTGCAAAGGTTGAGAATCAGAGAAACCACAGTGTCTCAAGAAACAATAAAGACCCCCAAAGTGGATGATTCCAACAAGAAAGACTCGGTTTTATCTGATTCATGAAGCAAGTTTATTATGAAGCAAAGTTATTATGCGGCCAAAAAGATTCGGTTTTCCTAAAGATTCGGGGCCTCACAAGACGACGATTTTTCCATTGCCCGGCCAGGCCAAGCAGATGGAGGCGAAGCTGGAGCTGCTGCGGCGCACCATGGAGGCCGGGGCCCGAAGATCGGATCGGAGCCAGGTGGATCGAAGGGGCCACAAAGGGGGGGGGGAACACGCAGGTGGGTTTGCATGTGGCAAAGAAGCCAAAGATTCTCCAAGGTAAACTTTGGCAGGTCTTCTGTTTGGGGTGAAGGTGCGGTAAACTTTGGCAGGTCTTCTTTTTGGGGTGAAGGTGCAGGAGTCGAGCTGCAAGAGGAAGGGCCCTTGGGGCTGCAATTTTGTCCACATGGTTTTGTGCAGATGGGGGGGGGGGGGGTGCCACAAAATAGGGGTGCCCCAAAACTGGTGGTTTTTCTGTTAGTTTTCCTTTGAATCGACCAAAAGAGGTTCCCCCAAAAGATTAAGACAAACCCGCATGGCGACTTGGGGTTTTGTTTGGACCCCCCTTTGCGCTGTGATACCCTTGGGATCTGACGCAGAAGATGAGAGAGAATGTCCCGGGGTGACCTCGCAGCGGTTGCTGTTTGAGCAATGCACATTAGCTACTGGTATTTCATTCGGGCAAGACATGGGGCCGCCTAAGTTTCCCACTGATCGGCGAGACTCCCCCAAAAAAATCCCAGGTCCTCTGAGCTCTCCAAAACAAGGTGATATTCGGCAGGCGAATATTCGAAACACAATCAGGACATATGCTGTGTTGGGCCAAGTTCTGGGGGCTGAGGTTGCGGAGCAGTCGGGAAAGAGCCGGAGCCCAAGATCTTCCGAGATCTCTGCCGGTTGCAGAGTCGGGAAGTCGGAGTGAGCGTGTGACTGCGCTGGTTGCTTTTTTTGTTGGTTTCATTTTGAGGCGGCTCTGCGTTTAAAGGTTACCACAGGCAGGATGTCGAAAGGGCTTGAGCAGAGGGGGAGGCAGCCGCTGAAGAAGGCAGAGCAATGAACCAGTTTCCATGAGCCGCTTTTCGCGGAACAAAGGCACTGCCCACGGTGCCGTGGCAGAGACACGGTCACGTTTAGAGGATTGTTTTTTCTCCCAGGTGGGAGGGAGGGTCAACAGAGATGGTCCCCAACCTCGATGAAAGCTGTTTGAGCTGAGGCGCCGATGGTAGGCAGGGTGGCCGCTCGGAGGGGGGGGGGGTGTCGAAACCAGTAGATTAGTAGAATGGGGAATGGGGATGCCCATTTTATACTGGTCCAAGAGGACCCTCTTCGTGAGGGTGCCCGAGGGAACAAAGGTGAACGAACTATTTTTGGAGACGCCTAAAGATTTGGACCGCTCCGACGGTGTCATAAAAAAGCAAACCAAGCTTTGGCCCCGGATATCTTGGACAAGAGGGTTCCCCCTGTGCTTTGTGGTCGCACGGTAGCAGTGCGCAGCAGCGTGCAGCAGCGCGCAGCATTGCATGGAAGTAGATGGCGGTGTGTTTGTTGAGTTCTGTTTTTTTTGAAGCAAACCCAAAAGGGAAAACACACATTTTTGGGGTGCCCTAAGGAGACACTCATATTCGTTCCCTGGGAGTTGGCAAGCCAAGCAAATCCTTGAAGTGCCGCCTTTTTGATTCTTTACATGGTTTTGGGTAGACCGTGTCTCACTTCGTGAGCCCCACAGGCTGCCCCTTGCCTGTGGCTTTGACTCTGCGATTGTCTAGGTCAACTAGGTCCCCCAGCTAGGTGCCCTTTTACCCTTTTTGGGGGGGGAGGGTTCCCCTACCAAGCTAGACTACAGAAAGACAAAATCGGGTACCCTTATTCTAACCTCTCAAATCTGGAGGACCTAGTCAATGTGGCTAGCTGCCAACCACTTGTGGCTGGTTCCCTCGTAAAAGTCACGCGGCCCTGCGCCTGTGGCAGGGGCGCAGAGGCCAGTTCCCATCGGCGCTTTGGCGAAACCGAAACCCTAGACCAAGAGGCCGCGATTCCCGGCTTTGCGCAGGCGTCCATGCTGAAAACCTCTAGGCCAATAGAACTGGTGCTTGTGTTTGGTGGAGTCAACTTCCTGCTTTCGCCTTAAAAAGGCTTCGGGTTCGACAGGTCGCATGCGGGACTTGAGCTTTCCGCGAATGGCCGGGCTGTTGGTTTGAGGCACCCCCAAATATGTCAAATGTCCTCAGACTGATTTTGGTTGGTTCAGGCTCCTGACTTCGCTGCCGTGAAGACCAAGTCGCTCCCTGGCTTGGCTGTTCCGTCCGCTTCTTCCGATCTATGGAACGTTCACGGAGAATAATCTTAATATTAGTGGACATGAAACCCCACAATTGAGTGCCAATTATGGAGCAGGTGGCGCAGCGGGGCGAACAACAAGCCCTTGACGAAGGGCTATGTCAAGTCCGTGCTGGAGGCACACGCAGCGAAGAGATAAGAAAAGGGTTGAGCCCACCAACATTACAACACTGAATGTATCAGCCTTTGCCCGCTTTGGGTTGCTTCATGTTCCATGCTAGCCGAGCAGTGAACTGTCTACGTGTTGGATTCGTTTGGCCAACCCAAAATCGTCACAGCCCTCCAGCGCTGGATTTGACGTGCCATGGCTTAGGTGAAGGCGATTCGTTGCAAGTTTCTTTTTCTCGGGGCTCCCAGTGTTTCTGTTGGAGGGGGGCTCGTGGGTCCAGGTCCAAACGGATTGCAAAGGTGAGATAGGGTGGGTCGCTAATCGACCCATCCCCCCCCCAAAAAAAACAACCCAAAAACACGAAATTGGACCCCAAGCGATGGAGACGCATGTGCTGGGCAAGAAGGTGGTCCCCGTTTGAGGAGACTCTCAAGTGGCTTCCCATTCGACCGCGCCGCAGGCAATTTGCCCCGTGGGCCAAGAGTAAGTCTGCCTCCCAACTCCCAACTGCCGGAAGCCCAACATGTGAGGCTCTACTACCCAGTTTAATAGGGACCGCAGGAAGGCTTAGGAGGCTCCTGTAAGCCTTGAAGCGCAGCGAAGAAGGATCCTTTGAACCCCCCCCCCAAAAAAAAAACATATTATGATATATATATATATATAATTATATATATACATATATATATATATATATCCAAAGCAGCACATGGAACTTGGCCGTATCAGCCAGCTCTCCGAGTGCAATTCGCCCTACGAAGATCCCATGGAGTGCCCAACTCGGAAGGCTTGCTCACTGGCCAACGAGAAAGGCTAAGCCGAGGTCCAAGCTCGTTTGGATGCGTCTTTTGCTTTGGGATTTGTTGCTTCGGGATGTTTTGCTTCGGGATTTTTTTTTTTTTTTTTTTTTTTTTTTGAAGCATCATGGAGTCTCGAGTTGAGCCACCGCCTTTCTTGGGTCTTCCAAGGAAACTGGTCTCCTCACCGAACATGGAAGTGCACCCTCGGCCTTTTGGAAGACGACTGTCCTTTTGGAAAGTGGGCGTGTGGTTGTTGCTCGCGGGAAGCATGGGGAATCGAGAGTTTCCTAGGTGGTGCGAGATGGATTTAGTTGGTCGCCTTTTGCACTCGACCGCACTTTGGCCTTCCGTCTGCCAGGCTCCCAACAAGAAGGGCAAGAGCGGCACGCCCAAGCCATGCCCGCCGCGATTGGGTTTCGTGGCTTTGGGTCCCGTCAAGGAAGGCACCCCGTCTGTCTGTCCAGGAAGCTCGAAAATATGGACAAGCTGATCAACAAGAAGCACTTTCCTTGCACAGATTCCACCAAGGCCAAAACGCAAGTCAAGGGTTCACAGATGGCCGTTGATTGCGGCGAGCTCATGTTGATCAGCATGCGCACGGAATTAGCACGTTCACGGAAACCCAAGGGGCGATAGTCAGAATAATTCACCGCGCAGAAAAAACAATCACAGCCTTCCCAACTAGAAAAACGGTGTTTGCTGTAAACCCATGGCTGAAAAGGGCCCTTTCACGGAGCTGTTTTGCTTTTTAAGCGGAGCTCATGGCCATCGAAACCAAGCACGAGCGCGGAATTCCGTTTATGCGAACGAACCAGTCAGCGTTTCTGGGTTTGGTTTTGGTGCCGGGTGCCCCTTTCAGAGTGGTCTTACAGGCATTCCTTGAAAGGAATCTCGATATTTTTTTTGTATTTATTTTATTTTACGACACACCCAAATCGAGAACACTGGCCTCCAAGTTTGCATAAGTCGGATTGCATTGGAGACCAGAAGGGCGAGAAGCGGCGTTCCTTTGTACCCAGTTGGGTAGTGCGGGGAGGCTGTACAGCTTAGCCTCAGACCTCCGGAATTTGAGGCCTTTGCAGCAACCCTCAAGAAGAGACAAGTGCTTCCTGCTTCAATTTGGCAGCACATGTTTTTCGCGAAGAACTCACACGCAAGTCGTAGAGATGAGATCGGGGACGTTTCGCTGCCAGCATCTTTCTGCGACAGGGCTCCCAAGCTTTGGATATGTGCAAGATGAAAAGGATATTTGAGTTGTCTTCAAAGAGTCTACGTATTAAAGCCGTGTCCACATGAAGCATAGCAATGATTCCCCGAACTTGCCTTCCTACCCTGGCATGCGTCTTGAACCATCTCACAGGGTCTGGGACATGCCCGAATGCGCCCTTCATTTGATCGGTTTTTGGCACACCAAATGTTTCCTGGCTCAGGAGAACAATCGGTGACTCTTTTTGTTTGGTCCGGCGGCCTATACCGTTTTTTCGGCTTTTGTGGGTCCTCGATTGGGAGGCGGAGGGGGCGACTCTCAAATCCCGTCAGTGAACTACCCGCGATTGCAAGGCTTCTTTGGCCGGGGATCAGCTTCGAGAGTTGCGCCAGAATCGGCACAAGCATGGCTAGTGCTTGGTGTGATGAAATCCTTGGAACAAGGCTAAACTTTTTTCTTAGGGAGCAACCCCATAAATCCTGGATCTGACCGCGGCCCGCTTTGCTCTGAAGTGACGCTACGGCCGCCTGATTTAGCCCGTGCTGGCAATCCCTGCCAGGTCTGGGACCCTGGCCGAAGCTACGGAGGACGGGCACGCCTTCTTGGTTTTGAAGTTGTTTCAGCTTGTGCCACGTCGCCCACATGAAAAGGTTGAGTATGAGGCAGGATAGAGGCAATAAGAGTGATAGCGACGAAGACAGCAGCGGCGGCGGCAGCAGCAGCAGCAACAAGAAGGAAATCCAAAAAGCCGGGGTAACGACAGGTGTAACAATACACTTGCTCAGGAAAGCATGGATTGGAATAATATTCAGATGATCCGTCAAGATATGGGGACTCTGGATACGCGTGCGTCCTCTGGATTTCGCGGGCTCCCCCAGGAAAAAAACGTGCGTTCTCAAGAAAATCGGAAGGCGCTGCGACCCTGGAAAGAAAAAGAAACCACGTCCCCCCAAAAAGTCGGTGCCTCTCGGTAAGATTGCGCCCCGTGCCTTTCCCAGGGCCTTCGTGCCTTCTCAATTTGTCCCTTTGCTTACCCTGCGGAAGGCTCGAGGAAGGGGGTCCCGGAAAAAAAAGCTCAACCGTAACAAGATCAACACAGTCCCAGAGGCGTAGCAAGATGCAGGTGGTCGGCCTCTTGTTTCAGTGCCAAAAGGAGACTGAGCGTCAGGAATCAAGCTTTGGTCCAGAAGTTGACCCTCCGACTAGCCCGGCTCCTTTCTGACTGCCAACCTTTTGGACCTCTGCTACACTTGGGTGAAAGCTGTCACTTTCTTTCCATTGGTTTCATCGTGCCCCGATACCGACAGAGAGGGATTTGTGCCATCATCTTTCGCACCGCTTTCAAAGGATGCCCACATACCTACTTGGATGTTCGGCCAAGCTGTTGGCCTTGGGGTATAGCCCCGTTAAAACAAGGTGAACCCCACCCAAGTGGCACCCCCTTTTTTGGTGGTTCAAAGGGACACCAAAAGGACACTAGCATTGGCGCTGTCAAACCACATCCCTGTGAGCGGCCCTTCTGAAGCAGGGCTCCTGAAAAGATACATTTTGCCCATTTGAAACATGGCTTTTTCCACCAAAATGAAGGGAACCCACCCTTTACAAGGCAATGTTCAGGTGTAGAATGTAAGAATCCCTGTGAAGGAACAGCAATTCTTGGTTGGGTCCCACCTGACGAGCCACCCACACAGCTGATCTGGGACTTCCCCCCACGATGGGCCCCTGGCGCAGGCCAGCCCTTTGGCGCCACTTCCCAGCCCCAGCCCTTCGAACTCCAACGTGCGGTGGCCCAGTTTGGGGGGTTTTGCGCTCGCTCGCTCGCGTTCCGCGTTTCGGAGTGCGCCCGTTTCATTTTTCAGAGGGTATTCAGGGGTTTGGTACCTCCAGAGAAGGCACCAAGAGACCCTTCAAAATTGTGTCACTACATGACTAATGAAGGGGTCGAGCTGGATTTTTCCCTTGGGTTATCAATTGACTCGGGGCAACTCCATTGAAACGATGGCCACTTGAGGTTCCGCTTCCAAAAAGGGAAGTGCCTCGATCAGATCCATGCGGATTTGGTCAAAGGACTCACTTAGTTCTTGGCTGCGAAAAAGTGCCTGCCTGTCAATGCCAATGAAGAGTGACAAGTACGCGCCACACACAACACACAGCGAGTGTTTGTTTGAAGCGTATGATCTGCAGATTCGACACAGCATATGCTCGATGCCCTAGACGTTGCAAGTGGGGAACATGTTGAACAACTCCATTTTTCCATGGCTTTTGCCATGGCCATCGGCTGCGGTTTGTGCAGTATGTAGGGCATCTGGCCATCGGGACCACTAACCTTTGGAGAGAAGGTGGTGGTCTTTTGCATTTTGAGGGTCCCACTTTTGGGTTGTTTTTTCACGGCATCCCAAAGAAGAGTCCACCATGTTGGGGTTCTAGTTCAACAATGGTTTGGGCCTGAACATATTCCGACCGGCAAATGTTTCTAGCCGTGTTTTCCCAATTCTGCGGAAGAGAAGCTTAACTGTTTTTGCTCACGACTTGCAGAGGTATTGCTCACACGTGTCCCAAAGAAACGTCAGTTTTATAAGATGCCTCTCCGAAGTATTGCCACCACGCGCAATAGTTGTTGCCCTTGCGCTCGTCAAACGAGTGGTGCACAAGTATCGGCCAACGTCTCTCTTGCAGGCGCTTCGCCCAGCCCAAACGTAGTGTCTAGCAAGGTCTTGGAGCAGCCATGCAGCAGCATTGCCTTCTCATAGGCTGCATTTTGGCTCCTGGCTTGTTTGGTCACATCTATGTTCTACCGATCCATACGGGCATGCCTCAATGTTGGCACTTTGCAGCTTGTTTCCGTCATGCCCCGATGGACAGTTTGAACATATTTCAGTCCTGTCCGAGCGGAACGACATATATGTTTTCTCATTTTTCAGGATACTCCGGACTTTGTGGTTCTCTTGTTGGCTTCCCTTTTAATTCACAAAACAGGGGTTCCCTCATCAAAAAGGACAAAACCATCTCTCTCACTGGGGTTCCTGGACTTTCTACTTTTTGAGACGACCCTTTTAGCGGCAAAAGACAAGTTCGGAACATATTTGAACTTTGGATGCCACGCTGAGAACCCGTCTGGGTGTTGTTGTTTTTCTTTTCAAGCCCCGAAATGGGCGGTTTTCCTGTTTTCCCTTTTAGCCCACAAAAATACCGGGTTTCCAAGAAAAAGGGGACAAACCCATCTGCTCAACCCTTGGGCTATGCGGCGAGCCCGAGAAGTGAGGCCAGCCCCTTGGCGCCGCTGGTGACGAGCAACAGCCCTTCCACTGCGTGGAACCCAAACGCGCGGGTTGGGCAGAGGGTGGCTTTTTGGCTCTGTGTGTTGGCGTGTGTGTGTGTGTGTGTTGCATGTGTTGTGTGGGTTTGGTTGTGGTTTTTGTATTGGGCTTGTTTGTTTGTTTGTTTGTTTGTTTGTTCGTTCGTGTGGCTGGCGGTATCACAGAATGTTTTGTAGCCTTGTGGCACCTTGCCGATACTTATTTCAATTTGCCAATACTAAACCACTACTAAACTCTCCCGAAGCCAGATCCACTCAGCAAAACTCTGCAGATGTGCTTAATAGTGGTCACCCTGGTCTTACTCGAACGTTGTATTCTGAGCCCTTTTTCCCCTCAAAGCAAAGGGTTGATTCGCGTGAGAAGGATTTTATTACTAGTGTCTCCATTGGGCTCCCCTCAGAAGGTCTTACTCAAGAGTTGTATTCTGAGCGCTCTTTCCCTCAAACCACGGGGTTGATTTGCGTGAGAAGGGTTTTATTACTAAGGGTGTCCAGAAGGTTTCCTTCAGACGGACTCTTAACAACCCCAGGGGTTTTTATTATCAGGCTTCTTTTGACAACAAGCAAGGGCACCTTCTCTTTTCTCCTGACCATACTTCTGCAGCAGGTGGGGGCTTTTCCTCGTTCGATCCGGCTGGGCCATCTTGTGTTTGAACGCCTGGGAACCAATTCCGATGCTCAAGTCTGCAAAACTAGGCTGGTGGTTGGCACCAGCCATCCAAGAGATGGCCGGCCTTTTTTTTAAAAGGAAAGTCGGGGGCCAGTTCCGAACTTGTTGGTTCCAAGATGGAGCCAAACACCGCCAACGGACCCTCCCCTCCCGTCCTGAGCACCCAGTCCAATATCAGGTGGGCGCAACCAGTGCGGCAAGAAACTTGCAGGCGGGAACTTGCAGCTGTCAACCCACACCCTCTGGAATGGGCGTGGCTCGTTTGTTTTTTGGAGTTGGTGCCCTTTTCAGGTTTACGACACCTTGATTTCAGGTCCCAATCCTTGTTCTGACACATCGGGCCTTACAGTACTGCAGCGTTCAAGGCGGAGTTTCCTGGCCGTTGGGGCCTTTGGTGGGTCCGTTTTGGTGCCAACTAGGTCGCCCGGAGCTCATGGGGAGACCTAAGTGCCGAAATTCGGGGCAAGTCGCTGGGGTCAGCAGGGTGGGGCATGCAAAACCTCATCCCCAACGATGAGCGGATGGCGTTTTAGTTTTTTTCTTCCGGTTTTGGCGGATTGGAGCATGCGGTTTTGGATTCCGGTTCGTAGGTTGGACATTCAAAGCTCAAGTATAAGGTTTCGACTCACACTCCGCAGCGCGGATTACGGACGAAGATTGGATACCACCCAGAACAACGAATGATTAATTTATCAATTAAGCGCATATATCACGGATTATGATAAGGCATGCTAGGCCCCAATGAACTGCGAGCTAAGGACAACCAAAGGGAAACCACTGAAAGGTCTCCCTCACTTGCGACCAAAGCGAATGCACCTGAACTAACCTTTTGGTTTCCCCAAGTGAGTCTACTTTGTTTTTGTGCATGGATTTTCAACTGGACTTAGCTGCTCACTCTTTCTTTTTTCGGCCCCTTTCCTGGATGCCTCTCCACATCTGTGCTTGACAAATTGGTCTTCAGAGGACTCACTTTTTGGACGGTGCTTAACCCGACGCGGGTGTCGAGGGTTTTTTGCTGCCAGCGGGGGACGAAGAAATCGAACTCGCCGCAGCTGCTCTTGGTCAAAAAGGACGAAATGATGTTGGTGGATCAGTGGGGGTTGTCTGCTGCCAGGGGGAGGGACAAAGAAATCCAAGCAGTGGGCGCGGCGCCGGTTCTTCGGGCGTAGGCGGCGATGCAGAGTCAGGACCGGGATGCTCTGGAGGTGGAGGCGCCGGGATAAGAAGGAGCCGGGGGGCTTTTCCTTGGCCCAGATCCATTTACCTGGACCGATTCTCAAAGCAGCCGAATAAAAATGGTGGATTGCCCCCCCAAACTCATGGTGATTTGCCTTTTTTGAATTTGACTCTGTGAGGGTCCAGGGAAGGTAACCAAGGGCTTGCCACCCTTTAAAAAATTTGGCAACTGGGATCCACTTCTTGGAGCGGTTTTCTCCAGTTTGGCATGAGTTTGAGAAGTCTTGGAGAAGGTTTCCGCGTTTGAGGTTTGGAGACATTGGAGGAGGTTCTTGCCAGGCTTAGGATTGTGAAGAGGGCTTCGGAGGGAGTGTTTTGGAGTGTGTCTTGAAGCCACCCTAGCAGCTGACATTTGTTGGAGGCGGCTTGAACGGTTCTCTCCGGTGGCAGGACATCAGTTGGAGGAGCAAAAGTCAGCATGTGCGTGGTGGTCCTTGTTGCGAAGAGCCCTCTCCTGAGTTTGCTTTCATGTTGTTGTTGGTGAACCCAAATAACATCTCCCTGCTTCGTTTGGAAAAAGGACGTGCACAAGTTGATATTCCTTTTTTTTCCCAGCTGAAAGCTTTGGTCTCAGATAGGCTCCTTTGGGTGGTCTGGGGCGGCCCCGAGGTAAGGTTGCACGAGGGTTCCACGAAGGTTCCACCAGGGTTCCACGAGGGTTCCACGAGGTTCTGCGAGGGCTGCGGGGTGGTGCAAGCACTAAAAACGGCACCGCATGCTGTTGGGGATATCACCTGAGCTTCTTCGTTTTCCCCGCGAAGTGGTTAGAACTTAGAACTCTTAGCAGCCTTATACCCCACTGACCAGGTTGTACCCCCTACTCCAGCTACCTGCTTTTGTCAGGGTATTTGCGAAAAACCTTGGCTTGCCATGGTACATACCTTCTTCTTTTTGTAGAGGGTTGACAGGAGACCCTTAGAAAGTTGGTATTTGGAGCAGGGGGTAAGTCCTAAGGGGGCCAAACCCGAGGCATTTCGCAAAGTCCCGAACCATGCAAGCGGCAGAACTCGCAATGGTCAGCTCCAGGCGTTTCTGTGCTCGTTGAAGCTCGACAGATACGTCGTTCTCTTTATGGACCGGCTTCGATTTTGCGAATTGGTCGGGGGGGGCGTGGGTTGCTCCTTGCTTGTTTGGGCGCACAGACTTCCAGTGGCGCTGTTTCTCTCACAAACAAATTAACAACAACCTATTGGGTGTGTCTGTCTTTTTTGGGGGAGCTTTCTGCTTTTGGTGGCTTTACATGGAAACCAACAGGAACTGCAAATTTCAGGGGTTCTATTTTTTTGAAAAACACACCCATTACCACTACTCAGCAAACTGCTGCTTTTCAGCTCGGTTTCGCCGTTGTACTGTCCATTGATCAGCCAACCGACGCTCTTGAGGAAATTTAAGTTCCGAGTCCGGAATGTGAGTCAACAATCTGCATTTGACCACCAGGGCTCGTGTGAAGTGGTGTGCAGTCCTGCCTCATCGACGCCGCAAGTCAAGTGACTCAAGTTTCTGTTCATTCTAACCCACAAGCGGTGATCAGCGGGCTCGGATTTCATACGTTGACAAATTGCGGGTCTTGCAGCCATTGGGGAACAACTGTTTGTGGTGGGATTCCCTATTACACCATGGCGCCATCCTCACCCAATTTCCCAGGCGGCGTGCTGATTAAGCTGCCACTTGGGTTGTCGACTTTACTTGTGGTGCTGTGCGGGCAAGTTTTAGGACGTGCGTCGCCTCCAAGACAGTTTGTGTTTTAGCCTATACTAAATATAAAACACAAACCAGAGAATGTTGGGCCGAGATCTGGAGAAATCGCAATCGCCACACTGCTTTTTTTTGATACCTTCTATCGGTTTGGGGGCGCACCTCGAGTTGTGCGCGTTCTTTTTTTAAGGCTTCAGACAAGCAAGATAATACTTTAGCCTCAAAGATTGAGCTTCCCGTTGCACGTTTACATAAGACCTGTTGGCCGGCAAGCTTCGCGGGCTTGAGCACTTCGACATTGGGCATCAATCCTGTTGGCAACATGTGATTTGCAGGGAGTGACGGGGCCATCAGTTTTTCACAGCGAGGTTTTTGAGCCCTTACTTTTGGTCCTTGTGCAGTGGCCTGAGAAGGCTAGCACTCAATCCAACCCAACACATTGGGGACCGCACAAGTGGGTTGGTTTCCCTTTAGCTTCTCTTTACGCCCGCCCCAAGAAGGTACCAACTCTAACAACGCACACACCCACTTTGACAAGCAAGATGGTCGGTGTGGAAACCCTGCGACGGCAGGAGCACGGCTTTGACTGCATGGACGTGGTCAAGGAGATGGAGGACGGGAAGCTTCGCTGGATGCCTCACACAAGGGAGCCAGACACCCAGTGTTTCAACTTGCTTTTTCGGAGCTGGGCCCCTTCAAAATCGACTACCAACAAAACAGTCTTTTTTCCATGGCTGCTGGTCTTGGAGTTGAGTTGATAGTCCAGAGATTTCAAATGAAGATTGAATTTGCTCTCTGCGCCTTAGCTTCCGGGATATGCAACTTAAAGGGGGTGGCCTTTCTTCGCCCATGGCCGAACCGATTGTTTGGAGGGCTTCTTCAGGCGCACGAAGCGGTCCCAGAAGTCCCAAAATGCGCAAACCGGACGTTTCGAGCGTTGCTGGAAGCCGCCCAGTTGTCCGATGCCGGCCGCAACCATTTTGTGTGTTCTTTCCTCTTCTTTTTTTTTTTGTGTGTGTGTGTGTGTGTTTTGGGAGGGTGGAGGGCCAAAAGAGAAGGTACTTATTTGTTTGTTCCACGACCAGCAGGTCAGACCCTGTTCAGGGAACTTGGGCAGAGTTCTTTGGGGGTCACTCGGAACTCGGAATTGGCTGGTGACTGATGTCTTCGTGCAGTTTGCATCCTGGCTGTTGAGCTTGCCCCAGGGTGAACGCAGATGCTTACTCCCTCGTGAGGATGTGGCTGTGGGCCAATATTAAACCACCAGGGGACCGCAGATTTTAGCCCATTCCTCGTACCAGGGCAAGCCATTTTGGGGTTACCCAATTTTTGTCCCACCTTGCTTGTCTCAGTTTGGCCGCCACTCACTTGGCTCAGGGGCCACTACTCGGGGGCAAAAAGCACAAGAGACTCTCCCTGGCAGGAAGAGCACATGCAGCAGATCGGCATGGCCACAGGTCACATCCTGAAGCTCAGGACGCGGCTGTGAAAAGCTCCTGTCACCTATGTGGGTGGGCTCATGTTTTGGGAGTTGGTGCCGTTTTCACCTCGGTTTAAGGGGAAAGCAAAGGGAAAACCACAAGTACTGCTTCCCTCCTAGTGAAATACACACCCAAAAGAGGGCCCTTTAAGGCAGAATTACCGACCATTGGGATGGTTTAGACAGCCAGGCCCCGAGCATGAGATGGTCATTTTGTCGAGTTGCTGGGTGCCCTGATGCGCTTGGCGTGGGTTGGTTGGTGAGTGGCGTCCAAATTTGTCGCGCCTTTGCAACCGCGGCTCACATGGCAAGGCCGTGAGGGGTTGGGCACAGAAGGCTACGCCCCCCAAGTGGCCTGGACCCGTATCTTGGGGGTGAAAGGCCACCCCACCCCAAACCTCGAAGAAGATGTTCAACAGCTGGCAAGAGTTCTACCCTCCCAAGACTGGAACTTGCACATCTCCTCAAAAGGAACACAGGTCTTCCAGGAGCCCCTCAGGCCCTGGATTTGTGGGCCTTCAACGGTTGCAGCCCCCCTCCGCCGGCCGCTGGGATTTTTCGTTGCTGTGTCAAAATAAGAAATAGGGGGATGCAGCAAAAGGAAGCAGTTTTCCTTTGGCTAGCGGTCAAGATGAAAAGGGTACCCTCACACAGCCGTTCGCATGTTTTTTTTCCGCGCTTTTCTCGCAGCCTTGCAGGCCGTTCCCCCCAGCCTTTTGCGTTGCTCCTTTCCTCGCTTTCTTTCCGATTTCTTTTGGGTTTGTCAACGTTTGCTCACTCAGGTGCCTCATCCATGATCTTTGCTTCCTGCATTTTGCAGGGTGGCAAGCATCTAACGTTTGCTTGAGCCTCGCCACTACAGTGTCAACAATCAAAACCCGAAGGATAAAGGGCAGTCCCAACCAGAAAAAGGGTGCGGTATCCGCCTCCTGCATTCTTTTCCATGGGTTGTTGTCCACCGTGTCAGTGTTTTGGGTGCGACAAAACGGGAGGCCCGCAAACAACCTCCCCGATGGTGTCAGGCCAGGGATGGGAGGGTCAACCCATGAGAGGAAGTATGCCAAGGGCGTCCTCCCCATACCGGGGACCCACAAAAAGGACACGAGGGTCCGAGAATGGACGTCGGGGCCGAATCTTTTCAAGACAAGCTCTAGATTTTAATTCAAGCTGAACATGAGGCACCAACTCCCAAACACCAGCACACCCTTTTGCTCTTTGCTCTTTGCTCCTCCCCTCCTGAAACAGGTTCCTCCAAAAAATCCATCCAAACCGCATTTCTCCTGGTATTTTACTCCTCCTCCGAAAACTACAACCTCCTCCCTCACAAAAACAAAAAAGCCCACAAGCCAACCCGTTTTCCCCCACGTTTTTCTTTTTCCCCCCACCGCTGAATGCAGAGCAAAACCCACAGAACACCAGCGGGGCCTGCGCCCCCCCGCTTCGCCCCCCCGCTTCGCCCCCCCGCTTCGCCCCGCCTCGCGCACCTCGCCGGTAGGAAGCGCCTGGCGGAGTTCAAGCCGAAGAAGGCCTCCGAAGGCCCCGGAAGGGACGCCGCGAGAAGTCGCCGTCGGCGGCGTCGGCCGAGAAGTCGCGGAAGAAAAAGGGCCGTGGGGCGAAAATGGGGTAACCCCAGAATGGCTTGCCCTGGTGAATGGCTTGCCCTGGACTCACACCCTGGTTTTTTTTTGGGGGGGTGGTTTAATTTGGACCCACCCAAGTCCGAGACGTCCCCCGTTCCTTTTTCATGGCTTCCTCCATTTCCCCCGTTGGAGGGGTTTATTTGTTTCCCCTAAACTCGTAGCGCTTTAGGTACTAGAGGTGTTTTTGTTTTGTGGGGGGGGGGGGGGGGTTCCCTTTTTTGACACTCCACCCTGAAACTTGCCAACAAGGGACACCCCCCCCACTTCAAGTTTGAGGATTTCCAGCATCTCCTTTTTTGGAGCCTCAAGTGGCGATCATTTTAATGGAAGCCACCAATGAATTGATCAACTTGTGATCGGGACAAATCCAGTGACCGGTGTTTTTTCGAGAAAACATACAAGGGGAGAACCGGAGCTTCATGGAGATTAAGTATTTGGAAGGACCAGGTTTGATTTGTGTTTTGGTTTCTGGTTGGGGGGCTCTATGTGTTTTGGTCTTTGGACTGAGGGGGTGGGGGATGGGGGCGATTGGGGCGGAGGGTGGAGGGGGCCTGAGGTGACCCAAAAGGTGCAGATGGGCACCTCTCCGTGTGGTGAGTTTTTCTGTTTCCTCTATCCCTAGGTCCCCCAGCTAGGTGCCCTTCACCCAACTTTTTTTGGGGAGGGTTCCTCTACTAAGATAGACTACAGAAAAAAGTTGGTACTTTAACTTCTCCACTGGAGGACCTAGATCCAGAGGGTGGTTCACTCGACCCTTTGAAACGGAAGGGATCCAGACTCAAGGGCGCCTTTCGCTTTAGGCTCTTTCCAACCTGCGCAGGTGCGGAGAAAGACCTCACCCGCAAAGTCAGCTTTTCCGAGGCGGGGATTTGCAGGGGTTGACAGCGTCCAACCGGCTGTTTTGGACGCGGGAGGAGACAAGAACAATTTGCTTTGGTCAACGTAGGGATCCTCTGTTCGGAAGGACACCCAAAGGACAATTTGAGTATGAGGCAAAATAAAACCACCAAACAAAAACATGTTTTAGTCTTTGGTTCCATTTACCCAGGGTTCCATTTTGGGTACGCATTTTTGACCCACAGCCATGTGGAGCCCACAAGTCAACGACACCCCCACATTAGAAGCGGCCAGACTTTGTGATCATCATGTGTCACAGGAATGGCATGAGGTGAAGCGACCAAATCCGCGGAAACTTGATGTGGGTTTCATGTTGGGGCCACTTCAGTGCACTTCAACTCATTTGATTTTCGCCGCGATCATTTTGCTTTGGGAGTTTTGCTGTGCATGCGAGGGGCCGTTGCCACACATGAGTCCTGAAACTGGGATGGATTAAAAAGTAGACGAGGTCAATCCAACCGGAGGTTCCCCCCAACATCCTCCCTACTGTGGATGGACGAAGTCCGTTTCGCCACCCCAAAATGAAACCATGGTTGATGCCAGAACGCCTTGGCATTTACGTTGGGGAATGGACTCGTTCCCAGGTTTCTAAACGGTGGTGCGTTGGAGTATATTGTGCATCCATCCATACTGTGGATGGACAAAATCCTGCACCAAGCTAAAACCATGGTTGAAACCATTGCTTGTTGGTATTTACACGGGAACCATCATCCCATGGTTTCTGCACGGTGGTGCGAAATGGAGTTCGTATGCTTTCGTCCATCCATAGTATTCCTAGTGCCTTTGGCTTAGACCCGGAGGCGTCGAACGAAGCCGTTCAAGTCCAAAGCCTGGACCTTGGAGTTTCGCAGGCGCCCAAGCCCAAGGAGACGGAAGCCGCAGGCGCCCCCCTTTGGGTGGGGTGGGGTGGGGTGAGGTGGGGTGGGGTGGGGTGGGGTGGGGTGGGGTGGGGTGGGAGGGTTTATCTTTGCCAGGTTTTTCCAGGCTTAGAAGATTTAGACCAAAGGTCATGTTAGCCTTTGCACCTCGAGGACCTGACAATTTGCCAGATTGGGGAGTGTCTTACCCCCGAAAATGCGGGTTTTTCCTGTCGGTGTGTTTTAAAAAGCCACCAAAGCAAGGGGTACCCTCAAGAAAAAGGACAGACCCATTTAAGCCTTTCAAAAGTCCTGTTGAACCGTGCGCCTTGAATGCCTCGGAGGATGCCGGGTCTCAACGGAACAGCAAAGAGTAACTCACCATTTGCAGGGGGTTAGCCTCCCGGCAAGACATTTGGATCACGTTTGGCGGTGGACAGTTTATTAGACCTGCTCATTATTTACAGGATACCCTTTTGACATTGGGTGCATGTTTGGTTGTTTGCTTTTGGGAGTGTTGTTGGGTGGGTTACATGGGGTTTGACCAAGCCCTACTGAACAACATGTGCGCCCAGAGGCACGGTGAACACATGACATGCTTGCTGTGTCGACACGCCTTCTTACAATGCAAAGGATTGGCGGGGATAGCACCACTCAAAAGAGTTCAGGATTGCTATCCAGGCAGAAAAAAGACAGAACAGCCTTTCCTGTGGCGAGATTGGGGACACCTTTGGATTGAAACTGAACAGTTGATGCAATAGGCTTACGTGGCAACAGGCGGAAGTTTTTGTCAGACCTTCAGCCCCTGAATCCGGGGTTGCCGGTGTTTGCATCTTGCTGGCCGGCAGAGCCAACAGGTTGGCCGCTGTTTGGCCCCAGGCCGCATTTTGTGGTCCTTTTGCAAAATGCTCGTTGGCCTCCCTGTCCCCACCCAAAAAGCTCGAGATGTTTTTTGTTTTTCAGGTTGTCACTTCAAGGGCCTCCCCCTTTTACCCCAAGCCGTTTCACTTCACCCCCCCCGCCCGTTTCCCCCGTTTCCCCCCCAGAACCGACCGTTGCGGAGGTCCGGCCCGTTTTTCCCCTTCGGCCAGGCTTCTCCAAGAGCCTCTTAGAAGGCGCCTTCGATGAGGAGGAGATCCGCAAGTCTGCAACTGTTGGCTCGCTCGGTTTTCGGGTGGTTTTTCTGGTCCGAGGAGCTGGGAATTCCTGTCGGTTTGGCTTTTCTGGTGGCTTTCTGGTGGTTTTCTGGTGGTTTTCTGGTGGCTTTCTGGTGGTTTTCTGGTGGCTTTCTGGTGGCTTTCTGGTGGCTTTCTGGTGGCTTTCTGGTGGCTTTCTGGTGGTTTTCTGGTGGCTTTCTGGTGGTTTTCTGGTGGTTTTCTGGTGGCTTTCTGGTGGCTGGTGGCTTTCTGGTGGCTTTCTGGTGGCTTTCTGGTGGCTTTCTGGTGGCTTTCTGGTGGTTTTCTGGTGGCTTTCTGGTGGCTTTCTGGTGGTTTTCTGGTGGCTTTCTGGTGGCTTTCTGGTGGCTTTCTGGTGGGTGGCTTTCTGGTGGCTTTCTGGTGGGTGGCTTTCTGGTGGCTTTCTGGTGGCTTTCTGGTGGCTTTTCTGGTGGCTTTCTGGTGGCTTTCTGGTGGCTTTCTGGTGGCTTTCTGGTGGCTTTCTGGTGGCTTTCTGGTGGCTGGTGGCTTTCTGTTGGTTTTCTGGTGGCTTTCTGGTGGCTTTCTGGTGGCTTTCTGGTGGCTTTCTGGTGGCTTTCTGGTGGTTTTCTGGTGGCTTTCTAGTGGTTTTCTGGTGGTTTTCTGGTGGTTTTCTGGTGGCTTTCTGGTGGCTTTCTGGTGGCTTTCTGGTGGTTTTCTGGTGGCTTTCTGGTGGTTTTCTGGTGGCTTTCTGGTGGCTTTCTGGTGGCTTTCTGGTGGCTTTCTGGTGGTTTTCTGGTGGCTTTCTGGTGGTTTTCTGGTGGTTTTCTGGTGGTTTTCTGGTGGCTTTCTGGTGGCTTTCTGGTGGCTTTCTGGTGGCTTTCTGGTGGCTTTCTGGTGGTTTTCTGGTGGCTTTCTGGTGGTTTTCTGGGTGGTTTTCTGGTGGTTTTCTGGTGGTTTTCCTGGTCCGGGGGTGGGGGGGGGCGCTGTCTGAAGATCCCTTCTGTCTTGAGTTGGGCCTCGAGGGTTATGACAATTCAGTGGGTCCATCCACTCTCAACCACAGAACATGACATGAACAAATCACCCTGTAGAGTCGTCGTTCTCAGTGGTGCTGATATGTTTTGTCTTTTCATTTCCTTCTCCAGGGGTTGGGTCATGTCACGTCAGACACGTCATGTGTAGATTTCCAACATGGAAAGGAGGCTTCAGCATTTCAAAGGTCGGGGTCTGAGAGCAGGACTCCGCCGCGAGCTTCCAGGAAGCCTTGAAGGCCTGGCGAGGCGCCTGGCGTTTCGATCGCTGGGGGAGAAGCCGCCGATGTTGCGAAGTCCGTCCGACGCGCCGCTCAGAAACCCCACGGTTTTGGATTTCGATTCCCCAACGAAAATTCCTTAAGGTTATGGGGTTTCGACCATGTTTCTTTTTTTGTTTTGTTTTTTTTTTTTTTTCGTGGCGCGGAATGAATTTTGAGTCCGTCAGTAGGTGTCCAACGGTCAATTTGGTTCCAATCATTGACGCGTGGAATTTCTATTCTGGTTATCTCTTCTCCGCGTTTATTTTCTGTCCCCCCGGCGGAAGTGAGGTACCAGAGGTGTGTTCCTCTTGGCTTTCCGTGGGAAGAAATGCGGCTGTCAACTCATGTGGCTCACTCGCAAAAAATCGCCTGGGCATGTTGCTTTCCGGCTTTCCCAAGAAGTTGCTCCAAACGCTTTGGGGTTTCAGTGTCAGCTGGGCACGTCATGACCATGACCAAAGGCGGTGCCCCCGAAGGGCCAGCTCTGCGAGATCCTCTCTCCGGGCCATCAGCGGTCAATCGGTGGGCGGTTCCAAGAGGTGAGAAGTGGAAGCCGAGAAATCGGCCTCGGTGGTTTGTCCTGTGGCAAGCAGTGGTCTGCGAATACTTGGGCCCTCAAACTGCCTCATGAAAATGGGTCATTGCCCGATTTCCCTTTTCGGGGGTAAAATGGAGGGTCCAGGTACCCAACATATTGGGCACCAACCAGGGAAATTCATCCGGAGCCAGATTTTGATATGCTCATGTCATTTTGCAGAGGCTTTTGTTTGGTGCAACACTTATTTTCCCCTTTACCAGCTTAGATGGAGATTGGGGCCCAACAGCTTCAAACTGCATGAAGGAATGAAGGAGCAGCAGGTACAACATCCACCCAACTACAGTGGACCAAAAGTTGCAATGCTTATAAACCTTTGCACCCACTGCTTTCCGTGGAACCATCCCGCTTTTCGCCCGCGCCTCTGACTGTGTTGCTTCCAGGCGGTGCGGCAGAGGCCGGCTGTTTCACTTGGTTCGGACGTTTGGGTTCCCAATCGCCGCCTGCTGGCGGATCCAGGATGTTTCCTAAAACTGACATCCCCACAAGTGGCGGGACCTTGGGCTCCTGCGAGAACCAACCCAAGCAGCAAGGGCTGCGTTTTTGTCCTTTCTAGATTGTTGTTTATACACTTTCCCATGTTTCGCGATGTTTCACTGGAGGTGAGTTGAACCGACCCAAGCGCATGTCATGTCAGACCGGTGTCAATGTCCCTGGATGGCACAGAGATCAAGAGAAATTACAATGAATCAGCCGGTAAAAGGGGACACACATCTGATTCCAGAGAAAAGCCATCCCAAAGTTTGCATCATGTCCCAAAAATAGGGATCGCAGTGGCGATCCTTTTGGGCAGTCAAAAGGGTTTCCGGAGTTTTGTGGACACACCCTTGCTTGAAGCTACTTGGTCGATCAAGTCAGTGCGACTTGTTTTGCTGGCACCAGGTATCCCCAACAGCCCACGAAACTTTCTGGCTGCGCCGAACCTCCTCAGAGAACCCATAGCTTTCAGCTGTCGGGGACTGCTTAAAGAAATGGGGGGGGGGTGTCGTCTTTTTTTAGGGGACCCCAAAATTGTGGTTTCCCCTTTTGTCTCCCTTTGAAACAAACCAAGTTCAATGCCGGGTGCCTGCTTTCCCCAAGAGAGATTGGCGTCTGAGCTATAGACCAGCAGAACTCAGAAAACGGTTGGTTGCCGACTTGTTGCTGGTGCATTTCTCTGGCAACGAGTGGTTGACTATGCCAAGGTTGCAATCACAAGAACCGTAATAGAAAATCGGCCTAGGAGAAGGTCAAGGAAGTGAAGGAAGAGAAGGAAGGGAAGGAAGAGAAGAAGGCCAGCCGGATGGTATTCCTTCTGACTGTCTGTGCCATTTCTTTGTTTGAGAAAAGGGAGGGGCAGTGCCGCGCGTGTGTAATCATAATTGGCAACAGATGGTCCACGAGTGAAGATCCAACCTGCCTAACACCTAAACAATCATTGCACTTGCGAGAAATTTACGAGTTATGGAGGTCAGGCCGGTGTTTGGCGAGCTCCCTCCATGTCCTGCCAGCATTGCTAGCATCATCAACATCGCCGAAATTAACATCATCAGCATGACTGACATCACTACCATTGGTACGACTGGCATTGCCGGCATTATCAGCATCGTCATCATTCGCCTGATCAGCACCGCCAGCATCATCAGCATTTGCCAGCATTCGGAAGCACAGCAGGATACGTGCCACTAGTCCACCTCCGGATGTAGGCTCCGGAAGCTCTTGTCCGACCATTCCATGTTGTTGCCAAGCTGTGTATCGACGTAATTGAGCTCAACGTAAGATCTAGAAGGGACTACCTCAAGTGTCGCATGTCCACGCAAACAACTTTCATTCACTTGTCACTTGACCATGCCATTGATTCGCATACTTCAGTACCACCCTGAAATGGAGACCCTGGATAGGGTGGCTGGCGTATAACAGGGACCTTGCTGCAACTTTCAGTTGCCAGCGCCAACGCTCCAATTCTAAGCAGCAGCCTGTGGAGTTTTTCGCCTGCCCCTCGACACTTTTTTGGGCACCGCGAAGGGCTTTTTTGCGACTGGCATCACTGATTCAGAGCCGTAGGGGTACCTTTGTGGCGTAAATAGGGGAGTGTTTGTCGTCTTTTAAAGTGACTAGGGCCTTTCTGGGCCATGATTCATGGCTCTAAGCCACTGGACTTGTTAACTCGCGCCATTGCGCACCAGAAAGGGCCATCCATGGCTCCCCCTTGCCAGGCCCCAGGATCGTTTTGGTCCTCGTTGGGCGGCAGCGACGTGAACTTGGAGCGTGCCGTGGCTGTCAGCTGAGCGCTTTGACTCGGGCTGGAGTCTTCCCCCGTTCTTTTATATTCTGAAAGCTATAAGGGGTTCTTACTTCTGAGGAGGGCTGTTTGCAAGTGCTGCCGGTTCTGGTCCAGGCTCTGTTTGGGTGCGCTGCAGGTGCTATGGTGGTTCCTGGCAGTGCCTCTTTTGCGATGCAGTCCGGGTTCTGTTGGCGGGGCTTGTTTGGCGCTGCAGTCAGGGTTCTGTTGTGGGTGCTGGTGGGCGTGTTGGTCTTGGTGCTGTGCTGTTGCGGGTGCCGGTCGGGTTGCTGTTTGGTGTGCTCAACGTGCTGTGGTGTGGTGATGCTTTTATTTGTATTTTTGCGAGGGGGGGGGGGAGGGAGAGTTTTTGCCAAACAAGCAGGGTGCTTCCCCATCCTTTTGTTGCGGGAGGAAGAGGTTTGCCTCAAAACAGGAGTCACAAGTTGCCGATGCTCGCCGGAACCCTGGAGAATTACGTTGTGCGACGTGGGGGGGCTTGCAATGAGAAGCTGAATCAATCGGGGGGCCTTAGAGCTATTTCATTGGGCCAGCGGTTTTTCCAGAACAAGTATGGGCGGCTTCGGCCTTCTGTTCAGGGGACCCTCAAAATGGCACAGGTTTTCCGGGTGTAGCGAGTGTCAGAAACAGGAACCACACCCAACTATGGCTGGCACGGCCCAATTCGCACGAAACAAAATCCACTAGTTGGAGGGTACCGGATGTCTTGAAGGGATTTATGTTGACCCCGGATGAATAAACCCGTATGATTTTCCATAGTTTGTTGATCTGTACATAGATACAATCTCACTGAAGACCCTGAGACCTGTCATTGACACCTGTCCTTCCGCTTGACGAAGCACCGGCCTCATGAGCCCACCCCAGGCGCCAGCACCCCGTCCAAGCTGCCGGCCGAGAGCACAGCCGCCGAGACGCCCGGAACCCCAAGCGGAATAGGAGGCTCATCCATGGGGCCTTTGCTGGGGTTATTTTGAGATTGGGGGTATCAAACTCAGAAACTGGGGTGGTTCCCTTTTAACCTACTTCTTAGGGGGTGACGTTGGTGAAATATGTTTATCCCCGTGGTTTGAAGGAAAACCCATCATTCTGGGGTCCCCCTTTGACACATAGCCAAGCCAAATGGGGAGGGGTCTCCGATTCCAAAACAATTTCACACTGAGGGTGGCCGGGTAGACTAAATATAAAGCAGAACCAGAAAGCATATTTTTTTCGGTGGCCAAGATCCATGAGGGCCTGATGAGCTCAGTTCAAGTCCCATGGCTGCCCTTGGCGGCAAAATGGACAAATCAACAAATGACATGATGTACAACGCGGCGGGGCGTTTTGCTTCCGCCCCCGATGGTTGAAAATATGCTGATTGAAGCCTCTTTGGTGTTCCTTCATGTTTTCCCTTCGTGGCTTTTCTTCTTGTGTTCCTTGACATGCATGTCCCTTGGTCGCCAGGTCGAATGTAGCTTTGGGCGAGGAGAAGCTTTGCTGCTATCAGCGCGGGTCCAAGGAAGCAGAGCGCAGGCAGCTGCGCCGCGAGAGCTGCAGTCAGATTTGCTATTTGTCGCGTTGCAACCATGTAGGTATGTGTCAAAATGGGTGGGGGGGTGTCCCGAAAATGATTGCTTTCCTCTTCATGGTTTCCCGTTAACACAACCTGAAAGGGCACCAACAACAGCACACCCATCTGTCAAAACGAATCAGGGCCGTCGGGAAGGTCTGATGCTCAACCATAGCTCAAGGGAAAGAACCCCAGGACTTTGACAGCCCCAGAAAACTTGGAGCATATGACTGGCAACACACTTGCGATGTGGTCAACGAGGAGTTTTCAACCTTGCGCTTGTGCTGTGTCGACCTGAACAGGGATCGGGCAGTGACCGCTGCCAAGGATACGGACCGATCTCCCATTTCGGAGGTTGGTATGCTTACGTTAGACCACGACTGAAAGTGGACCAAAGCCGGCAAGCCGAAAGGTCAAGAGTGACTCAGGGGCCTGTAAAACTGCTTTTCCTGACGCTGGACCTCTTTGTCAAGGGTTCGCGACATCAATGTGAGGATGAATGTCTTTTCTCCTCAACAGCGGTTTGACAACAGTTCCATGATTGGGGCATGTGTCCAGGTGGCACCAGTTGCATTTCAATGACAGAGGCAGTGAGAACACTCCTTCCAAATTCTGGGGATGTCGCTCCTTGAGCTGGCATGAAACAGGGCCCAAGCGTAAACCATACAGCACAGAAACAGGTGCTTTGTTGATTTGTGTGTGTTCGCCGGACAGGATCTGGCTCAAATATGGCTTGGTTTGAGCTCAATGGACAGCCTGTGACATTTGACGATGAAGCAATGTCTCAGGACAAGCCATGCCAACAGGGAAACATGTTAATATTGTCCGTAATGCAGGATCAGGGAACCAGGGTTGCTGGGAATGGCAAGTTCAGTAATTATCAGACAAGCACCAGGCGGTGCTCAGGGATCTGAGGCCAGAAGTTGAAGCCTGCCCAAGATTGGCCCAAGCTGAGAGGACGGTTCAACTTGGCAGTGCAGTGCAGTCGCCTGATGGGCTGCCAGCGCCTCGCATTCTGGACTCTCGCAGCGTTTTGGCTGAACCTTTGGTGGCATCCTGCCTTTGTCGGGACATTTGGTCGCGGCGCCGATGAGGCGGCGAGGTGTCGACTGGCGCGGAAGGTGCGGGAGCGGCGGGCCGCTGGACGTGCAGTGCAGCAGAGGCGGGGAAATAATGTGAAAGGGAGCTTGGACCCCCGCCAGATCACGGTGGAGATCACCAAATCTGCATCTGCTTCCGATTTACTGGGAGTCGTGAGGCAGGAGCGGAACAACCCGAAGCTGGACTTTATTGCCTTAGCGGCAGCATGGGCCAGGATGGCAAAGATGCAGCAAACACTTTCGGAGACTGTTCTCAAGGACCCCGTTCTTCAGGACTTCATTGCTTTGACGCAAGATGGTGCAAAAAGAGCTAGAGTGGAGGCTGAGAGAAATGCTCGAGCTGTTGCCAACACCTTCTGGGCCGTGGCAAAACTGGATGAGAAACTGCATGTGCATGTGGCGAGTCTGCAGAGCAGCCTTGCGCAAGCAGCAAAGCAGACTGCAGCTTATATGGAAGCGCAACAAGTGGCAAACATGATCTGGGGCACAGCAACACTGGCAGAGTCAGGCGGGCAGGGAGCGGATGATAAGCATGCGATTAATGTGCGTGTATGTGCGCGTTTGCGTACGTGATTGAGTTGGTGTTTAGATTCGTGCAGTTGTCTTCATGCGTCAATCTCAAGCTAGCGCCAGCACAAGCATGTTTTGCAATGAACATCTGCTGTTGCGCAGTCAGTATGAGTCACAGTATGAGTGTCGGAATGCAACAGTAAGCACCCTAGTGATGATGACACTGGAGGAGTTTGTCTGACGACTTTGCTCCAAACTGCTGGTTCTCAGTAGGGAATCAGCAGAGGTTTGGGGAATGATCCTAGAGATTTGTTCAAAGGAAACCACAAGGGATGGTTCAATGGTTCATGAGGGATTCCCTCATTCCCAGTCCAAAGTGCCTGTTTAATCTGGACATGTTGCCCTGAAGGTGAGGCCGCCCTGATGTCCGTGCTGCCGACTTTGGCGGTGCGCACCAAGCAGGTGAGTTCCGAAATGACCGCGCAGCACGTAGCCAACATCATTTGGGCCTCAGCAAAGCTGACAGAGTCAGGAGATCATTCACTGCATGCTGTGTTGCCAGTTTTGGCAGTCCAAACACACGAAGTGAGTTCGGACATGACCGCGCAGCACGTTGCAAATATCCTGTGGGCTGTGGCAAAGCTGTCGGACTTTGGAGATCATTCCTTGCTGATTGTTTTGCCGACTTTAGCCGTCCGAGCCAAGGAAGTACGGTCAGATATGACCGAGCAACACGTGGCCAACATCATTTGGGCTGGGGCGAAGCTGTCGGAGTCTGGAGACGCTTCTTTGAAGGCTGTCCTACCGACCTTGGCGGTCCGAGTTGAGGAAGTGAGGTTGAAGATGAAGTCTCAAGGTGTTGCAAACATTGTTTGGGCCATTGCAAAGCTGTGCGAGTCAGAAGAGGAGTCCCTGCTGGAAGTGCTACCATCTTTAGCAGCTCAAGTCAACCAGCTGAAGTCTGACTTGAATGCCCAGCAGGTTGCCAATATTGTTTGGGCCGTGGCAAAGCTGTTCGAGTTTGGAGATACTTCCATGCTGGTTGTGTTGCCAACTTTGTCAGCTCGAGTGAAGCAAGTGTTCCCAGACATGACAGAGCAGCACGTTGCAATCACTCTCTGGGCCACAGCCAAGCTGCTAGAGTCAGAAGATGATTCCTTATTTACAGCGGTGCCCTTCTTGGCGGCGAGAGTCAGGGAAGTAAGATTCGACTTTTCTTCACAAGGCATTTCAAACATTGTGTGGGCCACGGCAAAGCTGTCGGAGTCAGGAGATGATTCTTTGTTGCCCGTTCTGCCGTCCTTGGCAGCTCGAGCCAAGGAAGTGAGATCCGACTTCAATCAGCAGCACTTTGCCACCATCAACCGGGCATTGAGACAACTTTCTGGTAGCTCAAACACAGCAGACAGCTTGGCAGCCTTGCGGCAAGTGTTCAGCCGTCGCGTCAGTGAACAGCGCTGATGTTCCTGTCTTGTTTAAAGTTGTTGCAGTGGCTCATGTCTGCCTCTTCGAGTCGAACATGCAGTGCGAGCAAGGAGCAAGGGAGGTGCATGTTGATACTTGCCAAAGAAAGTGCAGGAACTAGATTTGCGATACCTCTCATCCATTTTTTTGGGGACGGCAGCATCGTGATCTTTGCAAGCAGCATGCCAGTAGTGTTCGGGACTGTAGCACAAATATTGACAGCTCCGCCGTAGCGCTCATGCACCAACTTTTTCGTGGAAGTATAGTAGCAACATCGGGGTGTGCTTTTCACCAGGCTTGTTCTTTCGTTCATTGTATGTAGATGGCTTTTGCTGCCACTTACTTGACACACTGCTGCTGACCGGGGAATATGTAGAATCATGACATTGCGGCGCCTCATTATTCATAAACTTGCAAGTACCGCTTTCTTGCAGGAGGCTCCAGCGAGACATGTCACGTCAAATTGGCATGTTGTCTGGTCTTTATGAGTTTGTCTTTTCTTGAGGTTACCCGGTTACCCCCTATTGGTTGGTTTTACAGCGCTAAAAAGATGCACCCTTGTGGACGTGATTTCCCTCTTGCCCTGCCCTCAGGTGCTTCAAGCAGTTTTACGCGCAGTGAGCCCGGGCTCGCTTGAAGTGAATGGCGCACGGCAAACAGCGAGTTGGCCATCAATAGTGATACATAGAGTCAAGAATTCTGCATTGCTCAGTTGAGCAATGCAAGTGGAGTTGGGTTTACTTCAAAATGGTTGGGTTTGTCTCAAAATGGTTGACCCCAAAAAGTAGGTCGCTTCCTTTTAGTTTCCCTTTCAAACTAACCAACCAGGGTACCCTTGACAAAACACACCCACTTGTCTGTCATGACTCATCTTCGCTCCAAACCTCCCATCACTGCTCGTTTGTGGGACTCAAAACTGACAAGCGAATGCTTTGCCCACTTTGGTTTCTAATGGTCGGCCACATGCGTTCGGATCCCCTCCCTGAAGGCAAGCGACAATCTTTGGCGCGTCCCCCAAAGTGTAGGACTCCCCAAACTCCTAGGAAAAGGGGCCTTAAGTGTCAACGTTGGAGTACCATAAGAGAGCTTCTCAAAATGGCGGGCTCCTTGTTGGCTGGTATTCAAAGGAAAACCATAAGGGCGCCAACCAATTTTTTGGGACACCTATTTTGAGAAGCACCCAAAGATATATATATATATATGTATATATCTATATATGTATATATACTGCGTTCATTGCAGCATGCCAAGCACGACATATCGGCAACGGACACCTTTCTTGGCACCCTGGCACAAAGGCGATCTAAGGGGCCTTCTGACAGCATGGCTTGTGCGGGCGGACAAGTGCCGCGATGACCACTGCGGAGTGGTTTTCGCAAGGATACGAAATGGGTCCTTTTCTTTCCCAGGGTTGAAAGGGGCTTCTTCTTTTTTCTTTGGGGGGGTTGCAGCCAAGAACCCTAAAAAGAACACACTGCCCCAAGAGCTGGTGATTACAAAAGTCCACCATGCCCGGGGGAGGGGGCGCGGCACGCCTTCGGCTGTCGTGTCCGGCCTTGCGCCAGGTTCGCCGTGGAGCGTGAGGATGAGACGGCGGGCGGCCAGAGGCGACTTTGCTCAGAGGCGAGGGATGGCCGAAGCTGACTGTATCAACGTATCAACCCAGACCTCCAGTTGGTTGCTCCTTTTTTTCTTGTCATCTTGTGGGGGGTTCCCCTTAGAATCAACTACCAAAAGGAGTGCTAATTTGTTTTTGCCCCCAAAGTCAGCAAACTGTACATGTTTGGCTTTTTCCCTGTCCTTTTCATGCGCACGGTTCCCCCATTTCTCCCCCCCCCCCCCCCACTCCCATGATGAAGCCCTACAAAGCACAAATCCCAGCTGGTGCCCGTCGATTAGGCCTGCGCCGATGCCTGGTGCGCGGCCGCGCGCGCGAAGGCGGAGGCGGATCTCGAGCCAATTTGTTCAGCAGCGTCCCTTTGCAATCTCGTAGGAATGGGCGGCTCGTCTTTTTTTGGGAGTTGGTACCCACATTTTTTTCCGGTTAAAGGCTGTATTGATGATTAGGGTTGTTGTCCACGCCCCTTTCCAATTTAAGTCATTGTCTGTGCGCGTGTGCGTGCATGTGTGCGCGTGCGGCACGTGCGTGCGAGTCCCAAAGTATGTGAATCTGGGATCCAAACTGCCTTTGCACAGCTACCCTCGCACGTTGGGACAGTTTGTGAGAAAATAAACGGCGCATCAGTTTACCCCCTACGGTTTTGTCAAAGATGGAATAGATGGCGCAATTTCTGACATAAAACATGTGGGGAGTTAAACATTTGGGCACCCGCTTCGTTCCCGCCGAAGCATGGGGCCTTTGAAAGAGGATACCCACAAGCAACTTTTGTTTTTCTTGACAATGCCTTTCCATGTAGGCCGCAATCGGAACTGTAGAAGTCCCAAAGCAATGCCAAGCTTTTCGCACGGGTGTATGTGTGTGTGTGTGCGTCACATAAACCATGGAACGAAGTCAGGCGGACCCACGATGAAGGCTTCTTTCAAAGGGATGCCTGATTTCGGATGGCGATTCTTTTCACAATTCCAGACGGATGGCGGAGCTCGGTTTTAGTGGCTATTGCCCAGGCCTTCGAAAAGCGGCAGCTGCAGCTGCAGCAGATGCAGGAGTGATGAGACCTGAAATCCGACAGCCTTTGGTGGGTTAACTTTGAGACTATGATTTGTGTTGAAACGACAATCAACTTATGTATTTGGATTATGGCGCGGATCATTATTATCATCATTACCCTTCCCACGAACATTGTTCATCGCATTTGTGGGAGGGTACCTATTGTCAATGTCTGACTTCAACCTTCAGGTCATCCTTAGTTGGAGGGTTTTTCTGGGAGGCCACCCCCTCCAAACCACGAGTCAGCAAAGAAGACGCCAAAGCCACTTGACAGGGCCCCCCAGTCTCCCACACCTGGGATTCCAAAGCCGAAGGTCGAATCGCTCTGGACCGGCGGTTCCGTGAAAAATCGCCAGGAGATGCAGCGCGCGATGGCTGAGGAGGCGAAATAGCGGGGTCGTTTGTACAACGGCATTTAGGATTTATCGTTACTATTTCTAGCAGTAGCAGTAGCAGTAGAGCAGTAGCAGTAGCAGTAGCAGTAGCAGTAGCAGTAGCAGTAGCATTAGTAGTAGTAGTAGTAGTAGTAGTAGTAGTAGCAGCAGCAGCAGCAGTGCTAATAATTTATGCTTCGAAACGTATGACTACACCACATGATGGTAGAAGTACACTTTGTAATTCGTTGGTCCTCCATGATACCTGCTCCGAGCCTGCGGCCTTGGACGGATTTCCACATGTTCGATCTGATAGGCGTGTTGCCTTCACTTGGCGGAATCAACACGCACATGGCATGAGGCTGTTGTTCTTTTCCACTTCAGACACCACACCTCGGTTCTCTTACTGCGACGATGAGGCCGGGTTGCAACGGTTTTTTAGACGTCATTTCGGTGACAGCTCCTTGGGCCAACAAGTTTGTCACTGAAATCAGCTCGGCAATGAAGAGTTTGCAAGAGCGAATATGGACATGTGAACTTGTGCGCAATACACATAACATACACAATATCTGTATATCTACATATATATATATATATATATATATGTACCAGTCCCTGGGCCACGTACACCCCCCCCCGCCCGTGCCCATCTCTCCCCCCCCCCCCCCAATGGTATGGTCCCCCCACTCCCCCGCATCATCCGCATCTCGGGGATGATGCTGGCAATGCTGAGGATGCTGTCCAGTGCCGTGCGCTTCGGTCCCAGACATCCTACCCTAAACCCTGCAACCCCTCCTTAACCCCAACCCTAACAACCCAAACCCCAAACCCACCCGAAACCCACCGCAAACCAACCCTGAACCAACCTGAACCAACCCTAAACCAACCCACCAAGCCTAAACCAACTCCGAACCACACCCCAACCACCCAACCACCCAACCACCCAACCACCCAACCACCCCACCACCCCACCACCCCACCACCCCACCACCCCACCACCCCACCACCCCACCACCCCACCACCCCACCACCCCACCACCACCACCCCACCCCCACAGGGGGGGGGGGTTAGCCCAACCACCCACACCCCACCACCCCACCACCCCACCACCCCACCACCCCACCACCACCCACCCACCCCACCCCCACAGGGGGGGGGGGGCCACGGCCTGGAACATATATATATATATATATACACATGTTTAGTTTAAGGTACGTGTCAATCTCGATACGGTTGAAAAGGGCAGATGAAGGCTTTGGTATCTCCAGTTAGGCCAGATTGTGATATAGCAGATTCTAAATGGGAAACGACGAACAACTTGTTGCTATTGTCAGCTTTTTCACCCGAGTTTCAATGTGGATGATGCTGGTGATGCAGGGTCCGCATCCCCCGCATCCCTAGCATCATCCGCATTAAAGACTCACGCCCGCATCACCATTTTCTTTGGGACCTACTCCTCCCTCCTAAAAAGCGTTTTTTTTGGAGCTCCTCCAGCGCCCCTCTAGCATGCCTGCAAATCTTTGCGTCAAGCCATGCCTGTTGTTGTTTTTTTGGGAGCTTCTCCTCCCTCCCAAATAGCGCCTTGCCTGTTTCTTTTGGGAGCCATGTTTTCTGGAAGGCAGTTTGGCTTCAATGGGGGGGTATGGTTGAGAATGGGATGGATGGCTTTGATAGGCACACAGCCCTGGCGGGGGCAAAATGGCACTGGACCATTTACATTGTTGCTTCATGGATTCCAACCCAGGCACCCGTGCCAACTCTCCAGCTGACGTCAACTTTCCCTGCCGTTTTGGGCCAATGTAGTGGTGTGTGTGTGTGTGTGTACTTCCTTTTTTGTTGAGCAGTCGGAAAATTGTTCAGGCCCCTTGTGTTTTGCGACTCCTTTAGCCTGCTTTTGGGAGAAACTATGAGGTACGTTTCTTATGGAACCCGTATTGCCAAATTGTCACTATTCCCAAATGACAATCCATCACCATACTAGCATCTCGCACCATCAGTATCCTCATGAACGCATCTCAAAAGAACGGACCCAAAATGGCAAGTGCTTCTTGTTGGCTTCCCCTTCAAAAGAGCCAAAGTGGGTCCCCCCCCCATAAAAGGACCCACGCCCTCAGCACAGGCAAGCGTTCCCCGCCCTGGTTTCAGGAAGCCCCCGCGGCGTGAACTGCGAGGCTCGCTCGCCTGGGATTTCAGGGTGAAGCTTGCAAGCAGGCGAAGAAGCGCCAGGTTCAATCAGGGTTTCCTCCACGTTTTTTTTTGGAGCCCATAAAAGGTGGCAGTTTTGGTGGTTTTCTGCCAGCAAATGGCAGCTTCAGGGAGAATCCAGTCCAGAGACCCTGACAAGTCTCACCAACAGGACACCAACAGCAACGCGCGGACCTGACGCTGACGCGCGCCCGGGCACCGCCCTGGGTTTCAATCCAAAATCTGAAGCCACAGCCATCATTTATGGACAGGAATTGTCATTGCCACAGTCAATCACACAATTACATAAGCTGTTCTATATCTACAGCCAATCACACTCGCAATCTAATTGTGCGATTACCATTAGGCAGGCCTGTGTTGTGCGCTGAGCGGGTGCACTTAAGCGAGCGTTCTTATGTGCAGTGCTTGGCTGTCGCGCTTGAGCGGGTGTGCTTACCATTTTGTTGTGGTCCTGCGACCCCACAGTGGCACGGCGCTGCGCGTTGGTATCAATGGCCACAAGACCCCGCCGCCGGGCGCGAAAATGCCCCTGCGAGGGCGCGCGCGCGACGTCAGTTTGGAGGGAACAAAACGCAGTAAATCTCGGAATTCTCAAAGAAGGTGCGTTTGGTTTCGCGTCAAGGAAGGAGGGCAAGGCGGGGTTCCTCTCGCAGGGTTCCGTGACCTTGGGTAGGCCCATGCCGGTGGCGTTTTTGGTGACCCAGTTATCTGGGTTTGTTTGCACTTCCTATGCACCAGAAACCTCAGCCAAAGGTAAGCATCGGTTTACTGTGGCGCGAGATTTGGACACAGAGCCTCTCTCCCCACATATCACGAATTGACGTGAACATGTCCCCTACGCGATGTTTTGGTATGCGGTGCCTCCAAACCACCTATTTATTGTTGCGAGATTTGGCTCATCAACGGTATGGGTGTGTCTTTTTGTTGGGGTACCTTGTTGGGCTCATTTTGGAGGTTCCCGTAGCCCACGCGAATCGAATCGCCTTCAAGTCAGAACCCAGGTGGTGGCGAAAAACCGCGCCCGTCTCACGAGAAATCTCGTTTCACAGAGCACGAAATGAATTTGCACGGTTGACTCCCTGAGGGTTTGTTGTAGATGCGTGTGTCTTTGTATAGCAGAGCCCTTAAAATCGCTGATTTTAAGGGAAGCCAAAAGCAGACCAAACATGTCGGGGGATCCAATTCCAATTTAGAGACAAATCCAGGTGAGGTAATTGGGATCTCTCATGTGTTGGTTCATTGGTGGAACATGGGAGAAGTTTTTTGCCATCCATCTTGCCAAATATTTGGTCGAGTGCAGTGGTAGTGATTGTTGGCTGGCTAAATCTGAGTAGGGTCAAGCATACGTTTGTGTGTCCATGCAACAAAGTACCACTACTCCACGCCGCAATATTTGAGCAGGTAGGCTTTGGAGTGGGCCGTCATTTTGTGTTTGTACATCTATTCCTATGCACCGACATGTGCGGGCGAGACCCAGGGGAATCAACGTCAGCGATCATTTCCGGTAGCCCCAAATGCCGGGCATGCCATTTTCCAATGGTACCCGGAAGAAATGGAGGCCAAGCGGTTTCCCGGGTGTGTCTGTAAGCGAACGGGTTTCACAAAGCGCGAGTGAGTCGCCCTTTCACTGAAGAAGGTTGTGATCTCGCCAAGCGTTGAGCAACCGGAGGGGTTGGACATGTTCGAAGGTCAAAGGTTTGCTTCTAGTGAAGGTTTCAGGGGTCAAGGATATTTTTGAGAGAAGTCGTCAAAGGTCAAAGGTTTGCTTTGGAGTCAAAGGTCAAAACACAACAAAAGACTCTGGAGCGAGAGACGCTGGACATCGTGACAATCCGTGGCAGACTCGTTCAGAGAACAACGGGATCAGTTAATCCTTGGGCTGTGCGTGAAGCTTGGAGAGGTGTCGGACACGATGAGTTACGAATGGGAGCGGGCCAAAAATAGGTACCCCACATGGAACTCCTGGTAAATGGAAAGTACTAAAACCTGGCGTCCATATCCTGTTGGACCCATACCCCAAATGGTGGAAATGTCTGATACATGTAAACTTTGAAGTAGCGGCCGCACTCTTTGGCCGGCAAATCTGCAAGTTATCCCGGCTTGACGGTTTTGGCAACGCCTCATATTTTGCAGGTGCGTGTGAAGTGGCGCGGTACGCGTGCCAAGTGGTACATTTTATGCCCTAAACATTGCAAGTGCTCCCTCCAGACGCAGCCTTTGAAACCCAGTCCTTCAGAGTCTATACTTTGGATTGGGTGGTGGACGAACCAGGGCAGACACCAGGTTGTAAGCTGTCCACGATCGGGTCTGTTTTTTTGCGGGGTACCCCGCTAATTGTGCCTTTTAAAGCGACACAAGAAGGAGAACCACCATTTTTATTTGGGCGGGTGGGGGGGGGGGGGTGAGGGGGGGGGCTGTTTTGGCATGTCCCCTAAAAAGACACACACCCAATTGGAGAAAGAAGGTATGTCCTTGAGGCTTTTGAGCGTCGCGCGCCCAGTGGGTTTGTAATCCAGCCGAATGATACGGCACCTGGGCTAGTCCGGAATACCCCGCTGGAACTGGCTAGCCCGCCCGCTTCTTGCTCAGCTCTTGAGTCGTAATGCCAAGGGCTCCGATTCGACATTGGCACCATGAGACCTGAGTCTCCTGGCTTGGGCCACGGCGAGGCTTTTTTTGTTTCTTTTGCTTCTGGTCAACCAGGTAAATGCAGGGGGGCGTTGGAGTACATGAACCTGGTCAGGACGTAAGTCCTCAAGCCTGATTTAGGACATTCAAGGTATGTGCCCAGATATCGATAACACCGGCTCCGTGAATTCTGTTCCTCCTGGCCATGGCTGTGCCAGCGCAAGCGCAAGCCGGCAGCCTCAAGTCCGGCAGTTGGATCCCTTTTCGATCTTGGAGTAGGAGCTCACCACAACTCCTTTCGCGGATATCTCAACTTCAAACTACCCATAGACATGGGTTACTGAATCCCATTTTAGTTGGAGGGTCCAGATGTACATTATTTCTGCTATTAGTTGTTTTGCTTTTGGCCGATGCTGGCAGACCATGTTCACTGCTTTGAGCTGATGTCATTGCGGTGTTTCGTGTTGAGATCGGTTTCGATTGCTCATTTTCCCGCAAGAGCGATGGGCGAATGGCCGGTTTGCCTCTTCGTAACTTGCTTTTAGAACCTCTTCGCACTTAAACGTTTTCGATTTCCCTAGGCCCCAGGTGTCTTCTCAGTGGAAAGCCAGCCAACCTTTGCACGCTTGGGGTTGTTGGAGTTTGGCAACCAGTTTTGAGTCAAAGTCACGAGCGGTTCACCTGTTGCATCCATGTGAGCTTTACGCGAGCTTCACGTGCAGCTTGACCAGCGCCCCTCCAAAGAACAAATCATTTCTGCGGGGCTGGAGTTTCATGTTTGGTGGATGCAGGGTGTTGGGAAGGCAGATCAGGTCCACACGGTGCCCTTCCTTTTCACAGGATATAAGATGTGGCCCAGCCGTTTCATTCCCTCCTACGCCTGCTGAAGTGCTGCCGTCACGGCTGAGGTCTTTTATGCCACGCCGCGGCCGCATGGAACGGCTACAGCGCAGGCAGTCTTGCGAGTGATTGGATGGGAAACAAGCCGACTGAGGCTTTGCCCCGTCTTGTTCGGAGTTGGTACCCCGTTTTTTTGTGGGGAAAGTCCCAACATGTTCGCTTTGAATTGCCTTCTGGGCAAGATTGAACTCCCTGCTCCAGGCACGTGCGCGCTTTTCTCGAGTCTGATGCTGACTGCTGCTAGAACCAGAGGTATGTGGCACCCTGATGGAAAAATGTGGTTTTGAAGGGAAATCACAAGGGACACCCATCATTTAGGGGTACCCTAAAAATGACACACCCATAGGTTTGAACATTTGCCCAAAGGGAAACAAACGCGGAGCACGTTAGGCACTGTGGGGAGCTGATAATGCTGTGGATGGACAAACTCCGCTTAGCACCACTTGTGATGAACGGCACCCTATGAACAATGGGCCAACCCGTATGTATCAACTCACGCCCGGCGTGGATTTTGTCCATCCACAGTATTGGTCCTCCACAGTATTGGTCCTGTTACAACGTATTTAAACCGTTCCATCCACAGTGTCGGTCAGCTGAGTGGCCAATTATTTAAACATGATTTAAACTCTTCTTGTTTAACCGTCTCCTGTTGGTTTCCCCTTAACAGAAGGTCCAAGGCTGGTTGAACCACTTGCAGAGCGACACCTGCGAGGTCAACGGGATGCCCCCCGTGCGCTGGGCCGCGCCATGCGCCGCCCCGCAGATTATGCCGGTGGCGCAAATGAGGCAAGGGGCTGACGCGGGGGCAATGGGCGTTGGGGGGTGGGGTGGGGTTGGCAAGAAAGGGGTGTGCCACGCTTTTTGGGATTGCTTTAAATCGAAACCAACATTTTGGAGGCCCACTGTCTTAAGACAACCCCAAAAAAGGCCGGTTCCTTTTTGGCCCCGGTTGACAGATGTAGCATCACCCCAAAAAGGCTACCCGAAAAAAAAGACAATCACCTAACTACAGTGGAACAGATTGGCAACCAAGTGGACTATTTTAGGAGTCCCCCATTTTGAGGAGCAAACGCATATATCGAGGAGCAAATCCCTCAGTTGAGCAGCATCCTTTGAAATCGCTTCCCTCAGCTTCCCTCTGTGTGGTTTGGTTTGGTGGCTTGGTGGCTTGGGGTTCCTTTACTCCAAATCTCCAAACCGCCAAAGGGTCACCTGACCCCAGAAAAAGGCTCGGCTCCCCCAACTCAAGAACCGAACGCGCGCAAAGTGAAGGCCCTTGGATTCCCTTGAGGTGGCAGTGGGGTTTTGTTTGTGGTTGCACCCCCCAAAGACACCATGATCTTTCTGGAAGTTGGCCAAATCCAGGCGGTTCCTGTGCAAAAAGTCCTGCTAGTTTTGTCATTTGGGCACGACTTGTTTAGGCAACCCTTAAAGGGTTTTCTCCTGGTTCACACTGGAGGTTTTCACGTTGGTTTTCCTCGAAAAGCCAATCAAACAAGTACCTTTAAAGACAGATGCACCCATTTAAGCTTCACAAGAACCTGGCAGGTTTGTCAATCCCAATTTCCCAGAGGTTTCTTAGAAAATCATAGTAAACACACCAACATCAGGGGGTTTTCCTGAACAATTTCCTGCTGGTTTCTTAAGCCAATCCAAAAGAAGTATCCTCTGCAAAGAGTAACTTGGCAAGAATTGGAGGTTTTCACGCTGTTCCAACCCAAACTAATCAATCAACCAAACAACGTAATTGTGGCCTCGGATGAATTCCCCTAAGTATACTTCAATTCAGTCCACAGATGTAACGGCACAATCGGTCTTTAAGCATACAGTGTAGATCCCCTAAAAAGGACGCCCCCAACTTAGTGAAGTCGCCAGCTTTTCGAATCCTCCGGAGGCCTGCCGCGCCCTACGCCTACGCGCCGGCCTGGGGTCCTTCCGCGCCGCCCGGTCCGAGTGCCACGCAGCCCGTGTCGGGGTCCAGCGCAGGCGGATCGGATGCGAAGCGGATGCGGATGTTGCAGGTGGCTCCCAGCCATCCGGTTCGATAGCTTTTTCGCTTTTTGGCTTGCTGGATCTTTTTAGCAGCTTAGTGAAAATGTAAATATTTGACCCACTAAAAGTCAATCTTTTAGCGGGGGATCTGAGCTGAGGACAGCCCAGCATTTGCAGGTGTAAATAAGCGAGATTTGTGGATGTGCGCCTGCGTGTGTGCGCGTGCGTGCGTGCGTGCGTGCGTGCGTGCGTGCGTGCGTGCGTGCGTGCGTGCGTGCGTGCGTGGGTGGGTGGGTGGGTGGGTGGGTGGGTGGGTGGGTGGGTGCGTGCGTGCGTGCGTGCGTGCGTGCGTGCGTGCGTGCGTGCGTGCGTGCGTGCGTGCGTGGGTGCGTGTGTGTGTGTGTGTGTGTGGTGTGTGTGTGTGTGTGTGGTGTGTGTGTGTGTGTGTGTGTGTGTGTGTGTGTGTGTGTGTGTTGTGTGTTGTGTTTGTGTTTGTGTTTGTGCTTGTGCTTGTGCTTGTGCTTGTGCTTGTGCTTGTGCTTGTGCTTGTGCTTGTGTTTGTGTTTGTGTTTGTGTTTGTGTTTG